TGTTGATGATGTTGTTGATGTTGATAATGATGATGATGATGTTGTTGTTGAAAATGATGATGATGATGATGTTCTTGTTGTTCTTGTTGTTCTTGTTGATTATGATGATGATGATGATGTTGTTGCTGATAATAATAATAATAATGATGATGACGACGAATGACAATGATGATGATGATGATGACGATGATGATGATTGAATCATATAAGTGATCAGTAACTAACAATTGGTAAATTGTTTAAATCATTTTAATACGGTGTTGGGTCTAGTGTTCACATTAACCTGCATTTTACTATCATTATCGTTGTTATCTACATTTTTTTTAATTAACATATTAAGTAGATGTTGAAATGTGAATGGGATTTTCGAGTACACCAATAAATTTTCATTTTTTAAAGATCAGAAGTAATTCTGGTATACCAGTTCATTGTATACACATGTCGAGTTATTTAGGTATGTTTTTAAAGATTGTTGATATGTTAGCATGCATATTCTTTGAATGTCGCTATTCAAACATTTGCAGGTTTTTTGTTTGCTTTACAGGTTTTTGAATGAATATTTTAGACTTATATTTTAACAAAGTGAATAAAGAGGTCGATATAGGACGGACATATACAAATGCATTATGTTTTCTTCATTAAATCCAGCTTTACAAACAAATATATTTAGTACGAATATTTACACTGTAGTGCAGACATTATTGTTTGAATGTTTTTTAAAAACAAAGCTAAAAATAAATATATAAACAAGTATATCACAAAGACCAGCTTGGCGTACATGTGTACTCCACTTTTAAGGCGCATTATGCCTCAGATATCCATATTTATTAATACATACAAAATACTTATTCACTATAATTATACCAATTGACAACAAAGCAAAAGAAACAAAGACAGTTCATTTTTATGGTAAATGAGTATTTTTTTAGAAACTGTAACAAGATACCAAAACATAAAAGTTTTGTGAAATAAGATTGATAGCATTTCTGAGGCATTGTAACACCGCACTTTGGGGTCAAACGCACTTTGGGGTCGAACCCCAAAGTGCGTTACGCACTTTGGGGTCGGACCCCATAGTGCGTTACGCACTTTGGGGTCCAATTTCGACCCCAAAGTGCGTTAAACAGGTACATATGCATTTTTCAACATCAGGCAAACGACCGCACTTTGGGGTCAGAGAAAATTTATGTTCATTATGTTTTAAATAATATAGTGTAGTCAAAGCCAATGGTTAACAAAAATCAATGTATTAAATAGACACAAAACATGTGCCCTGAATCAATAGGGATTTAAATGGTCTTGATTAGTAAGTGAAGAACTTTCACAAAATAAATCACCAAAAAAAGAATTTGTATCAATGCAGCACGCCTCCAGATTCACGCTAATTTTCATGAAAATTTTGAAAATTTATTTGAATGTATAATATTGTGGAATAACCAAAAGGAAGCAATTTGCACATTATCAATGGCACTTATAACTTACGTATATTACCAAAAAGTTGTCAAAATATGCATAAATAGCCCTTAATGCGTTAGTAACGCAGTAGGAATATAGTTGTAAATATTGAAAACGCACATAACATGTAAAATATTACTTGAATCTTGAATCATTTTACATTTCCTATAATCGTAGTACATATTTCTCAAGTTTGATTTTATTGAAATATTTTGACTCATCTGGAGGCATGCAGCTTTAAGCTTAAAATATGTTTTTTTAAAATTTTCCATTTACATGTATTTTAAAAGAATGTACACCTTTCATTAACTCCATTGTTTTTAGCTAAATGCATCATTTTAACGTTTGTTATTTTTACACATTTTACAGAAATATGATAGTCTTTGCATAGACAAAGGCATAAATTATGGGTAATCTAAATAAGACATTTCAGTAAAAAATTTGCCTGATAATATGTTAAAATAGCCATTCATTTAGCTAAATGTGACACATTAGAAACCTGACTAGGTGAAGATGTGGCTTTAAGTAGTAGTCCGTACAGGCAGTCAAAAAATATCAACTATTTTAGTAGTCGCACATTAAGAGCGAGCTTCAGAATAATGTAAAATTCTCACTGGGGTATAGAGGGGATTGTGTACAGTACTGTTATAGTGATAAGTAGTTTACTTGTTTTATATGGAAGTCAAATACTACATTGTTTTGACTACTTTTATGACAAATAATTTCACATTTATCGCTACTTTATTCAGGTAACAAGCATGTTACATTTCTCTGATACCATTATTTTAACATTATAAAATTCATTTTTCTAAAGAAGTATGTAAGATTTCCCATTAAAAAAGCATCTGGCGAACGGTTGTTACGGAGGGGGAAAAATATTAACTGCATTTTATTTCATTCCTTACATATTTAAAATGGAGCTTAACATGGCACAAAAGTTATCAAGTAAATGACAGAACGGGATATTTTTCGCAGCATCTTTATACTTTAGGAATACACGATTTCTGTACTAAAATATTTTGAACGGTGGCAAAAAAGTGACATTTGCAACTTTTTTTTTGTTTTTTTATGCTTTTTTTTTCGTACATATTTTTTGTTGTTTTTTTTTTGTTTGTCATCCATTTTTTTTTAGTTTTGAATACATACTTTTTTTTAGTTTTGCATACATATTCTTTTTAAGTTTTGCATACATATTTTATTTTAGTTTTGCATACATATTTTATTTGAGTTTTTGGTACATATTTTATTTTTGTTTAGTTTTTTACTTTTTTTCGTACATAATTTTACATGACGCCATTTGCAAAGTAGAGGTTTGGATAATTACGCCATTTGTAAAACACCATTTTCTAACACTTTGCCATCTGTAAATTACAGTACCCCATTTGCAAACGCCATTTGCAAATACCAACATTTTCATTTTTGGAGGTATCAAAAAGATAATAACACTTTTTAGTATATATATATACAGAGACATATATATTATCTATGTCTCTGATATATACATGTACATGTATATACATGTATATATATATATATTTTTTTTTTTCTAAATCAGTGGAGTATAAGGACCTATTTAGATCTTTTATTGTGCATTATTGTAATACACCAGTCATTTGTAACCACCTCCCTTGCCCCCGGGGGAGTGCGGGTTAAAAAAGAATCGTGTGATGTCTGCGCTGTTCCGGGGCATAAGGCAGGAATATTATTATCTGAATATCCCCCGCAGGGCGAAGATTTTACCAGTGGTCGGCTTGGTTTAAAGTCAATGCCCCTCCCCCCGCTATACTCAGGGGGTGGGGTTGAGTGGTGCATATTCATTCACCAATCAACTGCCCTTTCCAAATAGACACTAATATAATAGTAGATAATAATTTTAAAAAAATACACTAATTATATTAAATACATATGATTTAAAAAATGGGCCGAAAAAGGTCGGCCGAAACCAGACTTGCGCGGCCAAAAACGACTGGGCCGATTCCAAAAAATGGGCCGAAATATGACCAAACTACTGTGCTAGTTTTATACTCAACTATGGGCTGTAATGAGATGTGAAGGCTGTTTTGATTGGCTAAAATATGTACGAAAAACCAAAATAAAAAATGTACGAAAAACTTTAATAAAATATGAATGCAAAACTGAAAAAAAATATGTATGCAAAACTTAAATAAAAATATGTATGCAAAACTTAAATAAAAATAAATGCAAATGTCACTTTTATGCCACCGTAATTTTGTTATATGAACAAATTATTATTATTATTGGATATTTTAAGTGGTAAAATTAATGAAACTTTTATCACTTAAGCATCATCAAAGTATTGACCGCCATCTTGAACTCCACCTCAAATATTTCAATGTCGAAGATCGAAAATAAGTCAGTTCTCAGTATTTAAGCAGAACTCAAATTATACCTTTAGACCTCTGGAACCCAAAGTGCGTTGATATGTAGCATATTAACGCACTTTGGGGTCAATTTCTCGATTTTGACCCCAAAGTGCGTTTGACCCCAAAGTGCGGTGCGAAGTTTAACGCACTTTGGGGTCGGACCCCAAAGTGCGTTTGACCCCAAAGTGCGGTGTTACAAGGCATAATGGGCCTTTAAACAAAAAATATTTAATGCGATACTCCTGAACAATTCGCAGTAGCTCATTTATCATTTATTATGTAATGCCATGCTCTTGATCTAGGACAAGAAATAGTACCACGAAAAAGAAGGTTACATATATGATATTAGACTTATTTCAATATAGCGGACAAAAATCCTGAATGTTTTATTTCCTTTCATCTTCGAAGATTCGCCATAATGATCCCATTTTTACCTACAGACATGTGTTGAATCTGAACGTCTTGTTAATATTCATTTGTAAATTATTGTGATTTTTCAATATTATGCGGAAAAACAATAAACTTTTTTTTCCAAAATGTTTTAATTTCATAAATTCGCACCAGTAGTGAGGATTTTTGTTTTCAGTGTAAGATCGGAATATATTTCACCGAGTGAGCACCAAAAGGTATATTTCAAGAGAAGCGCAGCCACGAATGAAAAAAGAACTTTTGGTGCTCACAAGGTGCAATATATTTCAATCTTACACTAAACAAAACAAATTTTCTTTTTATGTTATGCATTACAACGTTTAAAACGAGCGCGCAATACTTAACAGCACACGAAAACTATGCAATAAATTAGTGTAAACACAAGATTCGTTTGCAACCCAAACGCCATTTTACAAAAATGAAAGCGGTGATATTATGAGTTGGCTAATTTGACAAGCAAAATTTTTGATAACTAATTAACATTCTCTTAGAAGGGTTTTACATGATACTCTGTCGTTGGTCAAACTGACCAATATAATGCTCGCACTGACCTTGACAGTCAAGCGATGTATTTATGACATATAAGAATAACCTGTCCAGGTTACTAAAAAAAGAGCACACAACGAAAAAAAAAAAATAATAATAAAAAAAAAAATAATACCGACAACAAGAACAAGATAAAACACCCCTGTAAAAACTTATTGACACAAAAAAGAAGAAAGAAAAACATACCTTTCTATTTTACAAATTACAGCTTAAATTCATATCCAAACGCAGAGGGCTGAAAATCTAAAACAACACAGATACACTTAAGTTTACAAACAAGCTATGAAATCACTAATACTCTTGTTATATAACTGAATCAATTTAAAACTGCATTTTTGCCCAAACTATACCAGCCCAGGGTAACATAAAACCTTAGGATTACACTAGGGAAGTTTCTTATCAGTTGGACAGGTAATTTATTTTGAAATAAACAAATAATAAACGGCAATAAAGCTATCAAACTTTAGTGATAAAGTCCTCGGCTCCAACGAATCATTGGTTTGGAATATAAATTGAGGACATGACCCGCAAAATAAACAAAATATAACACCCGTTAAACAACACAATGCAACACCCGTATTATTATCGATTCTTAAAACACTGCACCACGGTTGTAACGACATTTTTCATTGGATAAATCTAAAGTCTATATCAAATATATAAACACCCATTGAAAACGTTTGAATTACCTTCTATTTCATTAAAAAATAAAACATAGTTTCGCCATACAGATTTTTTTGACAGATTATATGACCGTGCAGAAACGGTTGCTCAGATATAGCAGCCCTGGTTATATAATTTTACGTGGCCATATAACTTTATAAGAAGGATCATATATGTACAGTAGTGCAGTAATTATTCAGTTTTAAAAATAACGCTATGACATCATTTAATTATTGTTTATATTTTCTATTGTTTGTGTGCTTGTTTGTTTACATTAAGTTAACAGTGGTATAAAACTGATAACGTCCGCTGTTTGTATGTTTGCTTATTTGCAACAAATATTTTATCCAAATCTGGTTTTTGTTTTATTTTACCTCTACAATATGACAAACCATTTTGACATAGCTAGGGCTCTGAATCGCAAAAAAATATTACTACATCCTGTATGCCCTAACCAGTAACAGACCCGGTATGTATTGATGAAGTAAAAATAGACTCGGTACCGCCATCGGTAGGATTTGAACTTTAACCTCAACATAAGGAATTTGGTGTCATATCCCTTCACGGCAATATTGCAGTTTTGGAAGACAAAATGTTACATTTTGTAACCAGCCGTACAGACGCACGGAGCATACTAAAGTCTTGACGCTATGTAACGATTGTCTTTGTACACCATCATGGACATTTCGTATGCGTCTTATTCATAATATTCATAGTATTGAATGGGGCAATTCGGCTAATGTACGTGAACTTTTTAAAAGCAGTCCAAACGCTTAGATTAATATCATACATACTTGTACTATATTTACTCTATTAATACTTATGAAAAAAGAATGCTATTTGGCGATTTGAAAGGAAAATTTTAAATTTATAATAATAATAATAATAATAATAATAATAATAATGATGATGATGATGATGATGATGATGATGATGATGACGACGACGACGACGACGACGACGACGACGACGATAATAATAATAATAATAATAATGATAATAATAATGATGATGATGATAATGATGATGATGATGATGATGACGACGACGACGACGATGATAATAATAATAATAATAATAATAATGATGATAATGATAATGATGATGATGATGATGATGATGATGATGATGATGATGATGATAATAATTGTAAAAAAAGAAGTTGAGAGCATTTATGTCTGGTTCTCTGTTAGACATTTACAAAACTATTACAAACAGTTTAAGTACAAGGGTATTTGTAAAAAATATAGGTTTAGGTTTTATCAGCAAAGTGATCATTTTTTATGATAAAAAAGGAATGTAATTCTTCTTTCAACCATCTTTTATTTTTTGTATGTTCTCTCTGCATTTTAATGATTGATGTACACCTGAACCGAAATGAATATTATGTACTTTACACATGTATAGTACAAAATAAGTGTGATGTACCTGTTATGTCTTTACATGTTTTATAATGATAACTAACGACTAATAAGTGTAACGTGACATTTCTTTAAAGTTGGTAAAATTCGTTGAAAATAGTTATCCGTATTGAAAGTGAATTGTTAATGTATTTTGATCAATGTATTATCACATTTTGTATGTAAATGTACTTTGTACAAGTAAAAAATAAAATAATTTATTATATACTTATAAATGAAATATTGAGAAATATTGATGAAATAAAATGCGTATTTTCATTTTCCGTATTTTCACTGTAAAAATTTATTTTTCACTGCAGTGAAACATATTTTCCGTATTTTCACTGGTGTCTTGCCGGACTACTTTCTTTTAAATTCTGCCAGTACACAAAATTTAAGGGAAAGTCTTTCAAATTTTATCGCAAAAAAAAAGAGAAAAATGTATATAATAAACAGAAAATTCAAGTTTTTTCTATAAATGCATGATTTATTTTCATCTTGTGGCATGAAAATTACCATATTTCACTCGTGGCTACCGCCACTCGTGAAATATTTATTTTCATACCACTCGATGAAAATAAATCATGTATTTATAGAAAAAACTTGAATATCCTCTATGTTCTGTTCTGTTTTGTCATATACACATGACTGTTATCGTCTTCGTTTCTATATAAAGAATGAATTAACATAAAGCGTTTTATTTATTATGAAGGCCATGTCAATGCATAATTGAATAAAGAATTATTCTATTCCAAGTGTGTTCAAAAGATATTTATATGCATTGTATTTCATTTGTCACATTCAAAAAATTTACGTTTATCTTCGGTCAACTTCGTGTTTTTCCGTATCATGTGTTGAAAGAATTTTTGACTTGACTTTGTCCATGTCACATTGAAGATTATTTAGCATAATATGGCATATTTTCACAAGTATAGGATAAGTGTAAAGTCTACGTTAAAACAAAAATGAATACGAATATTTCATAGTTAAATTATAAATAAAAACCGCCTCCGTGGTCGAGGGGTTAGAGTCGATGACTTCTAATCCAGTTACCTCTCTGGCGTGGGTTCGATCCCCGGGAGATGCTTTGGTAGTTTAGCGCGGAGGAAGGTAGTCTTGTCCAGGAACGATGGTTAGGAAACTACCCGCCTGTATGACTGAAATACTGTTGGGAAAAGGCGTAAAATGAAACAAACAAACAAAACAAACAAACAAACAAAAAATCAGTCATACAACAACTGTATTAATTTTTATTTTATGACAGTTTACGAAACTACGTCATCGTACACATCATTATAACATTACTAACAATTTATCCTCCGACGTATCATGGTTGTGGTGTTGGTATTTTTCACTCCGGATCACGGCAATAAGCCATATTTATTTTACTAGATCACAGTTCAGCCACCGCACCGTTCCTTGACAGGCTGTCAAGCAGTTTACCAGTACTAGTTGCCTTCACTTTTATAGTAAATCTAAGAGAAGACGCTGGCACAAAAGAGGTGTGAAGTTACTTTAAAGAGTTTCAATTGAATATGAACAAAGGGAAATTTTGAATGAAAACCGGACAGGTGTCCAGTAGCTCAGTGTATTTACAAAAGTACACTTGACAAGATCACCGAAGAAGCAGTGGCCTATACATGGGATGTTTTTGGAAACTCCGATCTTGTGTTAGAGCAGCAGCGAATAAGTTTTGGGGTAGTATATGGTAATTTCTACAGAAAACAGGTAATTCTATAGTTCCGCCTTAGCTGGCGCCATATATACCGTATAAACAAAAAAAAACATGCACTCTCTGATGGGATGTGAGAAGCGTTGGTTCGAATCCCAGAATAATTATTTACGAGCACTTATCTTATTTAGTACGGTGTTTATGTTCAGATTATGTTAATACGTGACTGGCGTCGGGGTTCGGCAAGATGTACATGAAATCAAATTATCTGACTGTCATGTCATGATATAACCTGAAAATAATGAAATACAACACTTAAACGCACAGTTTGAAAGGCTAAAGTTTTTTTTCTTGTTTGCTTTGAAACAAAACTTTTTAGTGTAAAATGGATAGAAGGAAGTATTGAATAGCAATCGCATTGATTTTGCTCCTATTAACTTTTTATGTCAAACACTTGAATATAAAAAAGATATAGTGAAGGCCGCAAAATAAATTTTCAATTAGCGTTTTCCTTGTGATAAATAGTTACTAGGTATTTGTGAGAACGTATGTATAAATAACCTATTTAATGTCTCGTCATCAAAGCAAACTAAATGCAAACAATTACCAAAATGTCAATAGGGTTTAATTCGTATACCGAAAATGTCGAAATATTTAATTGAAAGTTGTTAATACTTTTACACTACTGCGCCCCGAAATTGTTCAGTTTAAACGAGTTAAAGGCCATTAAACATTAAATATTGACACTATAACTGATTTTCGGATAAATGCGGACTATACATTTCAATTAAAGAGGTCCGTTCATACATTTAGCCTTCTTTGGCCCCGTTCTTATCGCGAGCTCGTTGTCTTAGTAATTCTTTTCATTTATTTGTTCTGTTATCGTCTTACATGCTCTTCAGTTCTTGAGGAAATAAAAGTATCTATCTATCTGATACGAAAACTCGTAGAATGCTGGCACTGAAAAAAGTGGACTGTGTATGTAATGATTACATCTTATCCCTGCACATGTCGATCAAAGATCGAAGGAATTAGTTATATTAACTCCCATGCATAATGTCAGCAATATGTTTGTAAAAAGTGCTATTACATGACTTAATATTGACGTAGGCAAAATATCTAAATACTATGATTTATGACAAAATATCTTAATACTATACTATTAATGCTTAGAATAACACTTTTAAACAAATTAAACCTTTAATACAATAACACAACATAACAGAAAAAACTTAATGTAAAGGTACTGTCTTTTGATTTGCTTGAAAACAGTTTAAAACTGTTTAGATATGAAAGATAGTTTCGAAAGATAAGTATTCTTATCCCACCCAATCCAAAATAAAAGCGCAATCTTTAACTGGTGTGACGGTCTCCCCTGGTCAAACCAAACTACGACAGACTCATTTTTGACTTACTATATGAGAAAATTGCTTTTAAACTACATGTACAACGGGAACTAAAACCCATTTGTTGAAATATTTTCTGACCGAGATGTTTATGTATACATGTTATGTCAGACTTAAGTCCAAAGCATAATAAATGTTTATCTATGTCTAACTTGAAATATTAAATACATTGTATTATACGTTTAACAATAGAGTGTATACATGTACCCTAAATTTATAGATATTACAGGGAAATGCGAATTGGGCCTGTGTTTCTGTCCGCCATTTACCTTAAAGGGTTTAAAGCTATATCTTATGAAATATTCTATAAAATAAATTAACAGTAAAATTATATGAGCCCCGTCACAGCAAAAATAACATAGTGCGTTTGCGACCAGCATGGATCCAGACCAGCCTGCGCATCCGCGCAGTCTGATCAGGATCCATGCTGTTCATAACAAGTAGAGAAGCTGATAGCGAACAGCATGGATCCTGATCAGACTACGCGGATGTGCAGGCTGGTCTGGATCCATGCTGGTCGCAAACCCATTATGTTGGTTTTGTCATGGCGCGACTTATATAGGTTCAATAATCTAATTGTCGTTTCTCGAAAGAGTTGTAACATAGAATGCCTCCGTTACTTAACACTCATGAATATTGTAAGTAAATAAAATAAAATTTTCCGACACAAAATATCATTCTGTTAGGAAGTTACTATCATATTTATTTCAAACAACCATTTTCAACACATTATTTTTAAAATTCAAACCATACATTTTAAACTGGTATATCCAGCTTTATACACTTTTAACAAACCCATCATGATCTTTCTAAAAGTTGTGTAAATTGCAGGAGTTATGAAATTCTTAAAAGGTCACATTTATACATTTACACCAATATTTTTAGGTTTTAAAGATATTAAATAATCAAGTACATTTATCAACTTCGAATGTAGGACAAAACCCCACCAGTTAAAACCCCACCACTCAAAATTTTATAGAGTGGACAAAACCCCACCACTAAATTTTATAGAGTGGACAAATCCCCACCACTTAATTTTACAGAGTGGACAAAACTCCACCACTTCAGTTTTATAGAGTGGACAAAACTTTCTTGTAAACATGTTAAAAAACAAACAATTGTGCAGCAGCAGAAACTCAAAAGAATGTGTGAACAACTCATCAATAAGGAGAAGACTGTACCCGAGTTTCTTCAGGCTATCAGCCACAGTATCCACTTAAACTAAGTAGAATGAAGGAAAAATGACTGAACTGAATAAATTAGAAATGTGCTATAAAAATGTGCTATTTTTTAATCATTAATTGATGAAAATGTGCTACATTCTTGATTAATAGTAAGTAGTTTATTTTTTATATAGATAAATTGAAGAAATGAATTTGAAGAAACTAAAAATAATGGATAATTCAAGGTCATAAATGTGGCACATAGTCTCAAATAAATGACTACTACTCTTTGAATGTTGATTTAACAGTTTGTAAATTATTTGTATAATCTCTCTTATATTACACAAATGTTATATTGAAATTAAAAAAATAAAATGTGAAAATGTGTACTGTATATTATATATATTTTAATTCATCAAATCTTGCCCAATAATTGGTAAGTGGTGGGGTTTTGTCCACTCTGTAAAATTAAGTGGTGGGGTTTTGTCCACTCTGTAAAATTTAGTGGTGGGGTTTTGTCCACTCTATAAAATTTAGTGGTGGGGTTTTGTCCACTCTATAAAATTTTGAGTGGTTGGGTTTTAACTGGTGGGGTTTTGTCCGTCTTCCATCAACTTCTCTTCAGTTTTATCAGGTTGGTTTATATACCTGGTTTTATCATGTGTGCTATCACGTGATGAAGACAGCGTTCATGCATGACTGTATAGTTAGAAATCTGTGATTTATAGTTTCTAGCAATTAAAATATACTAAACTGGCATTTTACTTTGAATTATTTCATGGTACAATCTGAATTATATGATAATGTTACAATTTTTCGTACACATGTGTACATAAACAAATAAAGTTATAATTCCTTCATTATCATCAGTATGGTCATCACGTACACTGCTCCTATACAACATTTTGATGATTTTTTTGTTGGTATGAATACACTACTTGTGTAGTACTTTTACATAATACGCTTTATCAAAGAGATATGCTTCATTTTTAGAGAATATTTTCAAGCCATAAAATTATAAGAAAAAAAATGCTGTAACCAAAAAAATAGAAATAAAAAGAAAAGAAAGAAGAAATAATAAAAAATTCAAAAATAATCTCCATGGTTGTTGTAATGCTTTTTAATACGATTTCAAACATAATATAACTATTATTTTACATAAATTAAATGTCATAGACAAATCTGACACCTTGAGGCTAAAATATCCTTAAAATGGGAGATAATAACAAATTATTCAAAATATGAGTCGGAGAGTAGTTTCCCTTGCAAATAAAACGTTCGTTTAGTTTAAACAATATTTTATCTATAACTTATGCATTTACATAATAAAGTACATAACATAAAATTTACGGATTGCGTAGGATGCTTGTAAATGTTTTTTGAAACTCTCCGTTCGTTTGTATCGTATTTCTCTAGATGGAACAATTTCACTTCCAGTGCGTATACTTTTATTAAATTCAGACACAAACATTAAGCTGAAAGATTTTACAGTTTCTGGCAATATTCAAACCTGCAAGCGATTCAAACCACTAAACCATAGAGGAAGCAAAGAAACTCTTACCAATAGTTTTTTTTTCACATTTAAACACCTCCATGAAATCTGTATCTGTAATTCTTACTTCTTCGGTCAAAAATTGTTGCAATGAAACGTTATTACATGCAATAAAGAATTGTGTTAGATTTTAATTTATCTCGAAAAGAATAAATTTCAACGCAAAGAAATCAACTTAAAGTTTAAAATATACCTATCCATTTCATCTGAAAAACCTAAATCTTGCCTAATAAATTTTAATAAACATTAAAATCATTATGCAATGAACAAACAATCAAAGTAAAATTGTGCAAATTTTTAAAAAAAATTAAAAGAAAAATTCTAGGTCCAAACCCACTTGAGGGTAATTCCCCCAAGTCCCCATGAACCAAGAAAAAAACTCTACTCCAACTTTTTTTAATATCACAATTACACAGAAAACCGCTTCAGTAGCTCCAACATCAGCTGGGAGTCCAGCAGTTTTAGGTATCGTCAAACCAGCAGTAATATCTTCTTCTGTCAAACCATCTGCTTTCCTCTTCCTCTGCAACTTCTTCTTCTCCTTCTTTTTTTCCTTTTTACTCGGAACTTTATTATCTGACAACAATGTAAAATCATATAACAAATTCATGAAAACTGAAAACAAAAGTTGCTAGGGTAGCGTACTATATACTTTTTTGAAAGCTGAAAATAAACTTTTAATTAATTGAAAAAGGCTTGTATCAAAACACTGAAAGTTTGATTTCTTAAAGTGTAAGAACTATGCATGCTAGTGACAAGCATATTCTTCATTCAAATTCAATAATAAAAGCAACAGCCTCTATAATCCATTTTAGACAATAATCCATTTTAGACAAATACCTTTCATCTCTTCTTTTAAATTTAATTACCATTTCTGATATAAATTGCGTTACAACTATTCATCTTTTGAAAGACATGCGACTTTTGATGTCCCCTTACAAAATGTCTGGTCACAGTTTGCATAGTACATTACATAACAAATCAGTTTTTTTTTATATATTTCGTCAACGAGTACATCCTATTACTTCCTTTTATTATTTCATGATATATTTCATGATACATAGAGAATTTTCAATGAGTGTAAGTTCAATACTTAATTTAATTGAACAAGTGAAATCAGTGGTCCCTCAAGGGTCTATATTAGGCCCTTTACTCTTCATTTTTCTACGTTAACGATATGCAATTTAGTACAACACACTCTAATATAGACATGTATGCTGACGATACTACTATGCATGCATCAAATAAAAAAATCAAGTGATTCAGGGAACTCTGCATTGTGACGTTGATAATATAAGTAAATGGTGTAAACATAGCAATAAATCCGAAAAAGACGACTTGTATTGTAACTGGGTCAGAAACTAAATTGAAATCCAACCCTTCCTGAGATATAAATATAAAAGGCACATGCCTAAGTCAAACGAAATCACAAACATTATGAGGTAGTTACTTAGATGAAAACTTAAAATGGAATGTTCAAATAAAGCACGTCTGTAATAAATTACAAAAACAAATTGCTTTGTTAAAGCGTATATCGTACTTTTTATCCGCTGAAATGAAAGAAATGTTTTACAATGCTTATATTTTACCTTGTTTGATTATTGTTGTATTATATGGAGTACTTGTAATAGAACTAAATTTGAAAAGTGAATAAACTGCAGAAACACGCAGCTAAGATTATATTGTGTAAACCAGTTAAAACGCCATCTTTACAGCTTTTCCTTAATAAAACTGGTTGACTTTTGAAAATAGATGCACGTATCATAAAGCCTTATTAGTATTTAAATATATACAAGGATTGACTCCTTCCTACATTTCAGATATCATAGTGTTCTCGAAAAATGAAACATATAATGCTATGCAAGTACTAGTAAGGAATACTTTATATTTACATATTAAGGAGTCTTCGTCTCTATATGCTTTTAAAAGAAATATGAAAAAAATATTTACTTGATAAACAATTTAAATGAATCTGATGTATGCAAGTGTCTATCGATTTGTATGCTTGGTGTTTATACTTTTGATTTGTGTGTACATATTTGTGATTTTCTTTATCTTGTTTAATTGAAGGTCATATTGTAAATAAGATATGTATTTCTTAATATGTTACCTTCATGAAATAAAGTGTTTATTATTATTGTTATTGATAATAATAATAATAATAATAATAATAACTCTGTGTTTAATAGGATTATCTGGACATGCCAATGAGATGCAAATTGCCTTTTTGTTCAGGCGAGCTAGTAACTGTCATAATTTAAGCGACATTTTGAAAGTTAACATGGACTTTGCACCAATATTTAATCGATTACGTTGTATGTACATGGTGGGAGATAAAACAATCTTTGTTAAAAACTATTCATGCGGCTATTAACTGACTTAACTTTATGCTTCTATTTTTACTATTGAATGTGATCATTTTCGTTAAATTAGAGTGAAAATTGTTGACTATAAGAGTCACTTAAATGATTAGACGTGGAATAAAATCTCCCGAGAAATTATCACATTTAAACGCATCTTTAAGAGCTGTGGACAAATAGGTTTAAACAAGGTATTTCTACACTATGGCTACAAGTCGTGAAATAGACACAGATTTTCTTTCTGATGAAATATTTGATGTTTTGTGTTCGATGTGTAAAAATCGAGGTAAAAATACTGACGGTGAAAAATTCTGTGTGGACTGTCATGATTATTTCTGTATAAATTGTGTTGAAGTTCACAGTCAAGTTCCTGTGTGTGTTAATCACAAGGTGCTGGATTTATCACAGGTTAAGTCAGGAACCAACAAAGATTTACCGAGAGCACCAACAGAAAGATGCGACAGACACCATCATAAATACATTGATATGTACTGTCACAACCATGATGATGTCGGCTGTTCTATATGTATGACGATTGATCACAGGTAACTTTTAGCATAATGATCACTTAACTATTTCTATAATAACTATAGGAAGTTCTAAATCCCTCTATTCTATTGGACCTCATTCCAAAGTAGATCAATATTAGCTTATCAAGAAAGCTCTGGAAGGCGTAGGTTGATACGTAAGTAAACAATTTTGAAAATTAATAGTGAATTTAACTAATCATTCTGCAAGGTAAGTTAAGGTTTATAACTGTATCAGATAAAATATTCTAAACAAGATACTGTATAAAGACGTATTTTCCACTCATATGCTTTATCTTAAATATTTTTTTCAGATCATGTAAGGATATATTCTATATACCAGAATTTATCCAAAACAAATCTTACCAAGTGGCTTCAAGAGAAATTCAAACAAGGCTGAAGGCATTAGCCATGACCTTTAATGTACAAGCTAACAAATTAAGTCAGGATAAACATAAATTGTTGAAAAGAAAGGAGGAGTTACTGGATGATATAAGAAAACTCAGACAAGAAATTAATGACCAACTTGACATGCTGGAGAAAAGGTCTGTTGATGAAATAGAATATAAATTCAAACTTTTTGAAGGCAAGATTAAAGATCACCTCAAACAGCTTCAAGCACTCAAATCCAAGGTACCATCAGCTAATGATAAATTAGCATCTCCACACTTAAATCAAGCTGAATTGTTTGTTCATGTGAAGATGGCGAAAAATGTTGAAAGTGATGCGAACAAATGTATAGAAGATATCAGTATGAACGTAACAGTAAGTGACATAGAGTTTCAACCTGACAGAAATCTCCTTCATTGCCTGAAGCAAAACAAAACAATAGGCATGCTAACAGAGAAAACTGTGAAGACTGACGATTTGCTTCAGATAACAGGAGGACAATCATACTGTGTCAAAGTTATGTCTGACGAAAATGAATGTTCAATCACAAGTGCCTGCTATATGGAAAATGGTACAATCATCCTAGCTGATTACAACAACAATAAGCTTAAACGGTTAGATAGTCACAATTATACCATCACAGGTTGCTACAATCTACCTGGAAAACCATATCAAATATGTAAAATCCATGAAACTCAAGTTGCAGTTACATTACCGTCCCAACAAGAAATTCATTTCATTTCCGTAGACAGAAAAATGAAAAGAACAAAAAAGATTGGAACTGATTTTTATTGTTACGGTCTTGCATATGCAAACAATCATTTATATATATTCAAGTGACTATACCTCAGTCTATATGTACATAATGAATGGCAGGAAACTTAAACAAATAAGTACAGACCAGTGATCCCTAATATTAACAGCTGCCAGTCAGGATGCTTCAAGGTTTTATGTTGCTGATTTTTAAAAAAATGGTTTAATAGTACCAGACGACAATGGTCACGCTTTAACATCATTTAATGGTGAACAATTACATGTAGCTTTAATGAAGCAGATTGCTGTCTTAATGATGCTGGTATCTGGATATAAATCCAATAATGCTTTGCAGTTTACATTTGATGGTGAGCTGATAGAAGAGTTCGTGGAAACTGCTAAAGAAAGGAATTCTTACCCTTTGTTGTAATGCAAAATTGTCTCAGATTTGTATAAGTAGCTATAATGATGCCTTTATTGGCATGTATGATATCTAGTCATGAAAACAAAAGGAGATGTAATATCCAACCTCCTACCAAAGTTGCTGTACATTCCTTAAAGGAAGCAATGGAATGCGAATGCATTGTAATTCGTAGTGCAAAAGATTGTACATTATAAGCAACAAGCACTGTCTGATCGATTTGAGAAGCGTTTAATTTTGATTCCCCAACTGAGAACAAATCCTACATTAGTACGGTGTTTTCTGTTCGGAACATGTAAGTGGAGTCGGGAATCGCCATGCAATATGTACATTCAGTCCGACTGTCGTATAATTATTTAACATACAACACTTAAAAACATAGTTTGGAAGGCGGGAGGTTTGTTTTTGCAATAAAACTAAACATTCTTTCGTGTGTATAATGGAGAGATATAAACGTTGCATAGCCGGATTTTGGCCGAAGGTTCGCCAGAGACTTATATATCAAATATAGCTATGTGCTATAACTAATGATTTAGGGGATATTCAAGCAAATTGTATTACTATTGTCTTTATCTATAGTTATGAAAATAACTTCAAGTACATATATTGAATGTAAGAGAAATAGCACGAAGTCTAACGTGTACACTATTCTAAATAGTTCAAAAGTTATTTGCTTTTAGAAAAACAAAACATAGCCAAGTGTCTCTCTTGTAAAAAAGATGGGTTTTATCTCCTTTTGTAACAAGTTATTTTATCCTATGTTATGTTGTGAACTATCATATGTATATGCTTGCTATGCCGAAATAAATCTATCTATCTGTCTAACGATTTAAAATCCTCAGCCGAAAGATGTAAAAACATAGTAAAAAATTAAATCTTATGAACAGTATTTAATTTATTATTATTTTTTTTTACTATGTTTTTACATATTTCGGCTGAGGATTTTAAATTGTTTGCTAATATCTTTTTACAATTTTAGTAATGTGTTTTAAACAGGAGTGTCATTAAATCACGATTTGACTGTGATATACATTTTTATGACTTAATTAGTACTTTTAAACATGATTATATTTAGGTCTGCCTCTCTATGTCATGCCGTCAATACTAAGGACCACAATGCAAATAAGGGCTTGCCCTTTTTGTGTTATCCTTGGTGTTGGTGAGCATGTCATAGTTTTCTCGTATGTGATATAGTATTTAATAATGCTCTTTATTTTATCCTATGTTATGTTTTGAACTATGTATATGCTTCCTATGCGGAAATAAATCTTTTATCTAAGTTTAGTTTCTACTTTGTTATTTTCCTTTTGTTTCACCATAACTTAACGTGACATATAATCAAGGAAAATATGCTTTAAAATGATCTGTATGACTTTAATACAAACACAACAGCTTAAATGTTTAGTGTAACGAAAGGTTATCGTATTCACAGCTAAAATGTAGTATCGCACGATCATTTAGCTTCCTTAAAATATTTTTAATGCGTATTATGTCTATTGTGTAGACAATAAGTAGATCTATTGTCTTTTACATTTTTGTTCTCAACTCTAGTCTTTCAATTTCCATTCGAAATATTTTAGTTATTTCATTACGAAGTTAAATGCCTCACGCACATAAAGCGTGTTGGTAAAAAAAGACTCGCCAATTTGTTATCTTAAGTCGGCGAAAATTAAAGAATTTAGACATGATGTGTCTTATATGGTTGTACATCGTAAAAATAAGGTAAAATATAAAAAGACATTCCATACCGCTAAATCACTCCCTTCACGCCAAGTTGCAAACAAGATCTCTATTTTGCATATAGATCTAGATGTAAAAAATGAAATAAATGTTTACTTTTCACTGATTTGATTCTTCTGAAAAAAAAAGGTTGTAATATATTGGACAATATTTACCCTTATTTGAGCCGCGTCATGACAAAACCAACAACGGGTTTGCGACCAGCATGGATTCAGACCAACCTGCGCATCCGCGCAGTCTGATCAGGATCCATGATGTTCGCTTACAAACCCTATTACAAATAGAGAAGCTGATAACGAACAGCATGGATCCTGATCAGACTGCGCGGATGCGCAGGCTGGTCTGGATCCATGCTGGTCGCAAACCCACTATGTTGGTTTTGTCATGACGCGGCTTATTTGGATTTTGACAAGGAAAATTTTATAACATCGTTTGACGCCGGATCAAGCGGAACATCGGAATGTCTTCGGAAGGGCAAGACTTCTTAATATCAAAATCGTTGCTATCGATGAAACATGGGTGAGGTCGTATAAACCGGAGCTGAAAAGACAATCAGTCGAGTGGCACACACCAAGCTCCCCGAGGCCGGTGAAGTATAGGTGAACTCAATCTAAACTTGAAATGTTGATGAATTTTGCCTTCGATAAATATGGAATTTCCACAAGTCACAAGGTCCAGAGTGGTAAAATACTATGAGAATATTAAGAAAACACAGGCGATCCGTATGAAGATCTGAACTAATGGCAGCCGGTCCAATACTTCTACATGGAAACGCAACATCGCACGGCGTGCATTCTGTGACGTCATTGCAAGAATTATTTGAGTGGGAAGCCCTGAACTATTCCCTTATTCCCCGGAAATAATTCCGTGTGATTTTGACCTTTTTTTCTCCAAACTGAAGGAGGACATGAGGACATGATGTGTATTCGTTATAACGATTGGAGGAACTTGAATTTGCCGTGACCGCGAGGGTGAGGGTGCTTGATGACCTGTCAAAAAGGTGGAAGGCATTTATCTCAAGGGATATTACTTTGAAGGAATGAAGAGAGGTAGCAACCTTATATTTATTTCTAAAAGTATTTAACAGATTACATAATGAATGACCCTCGTATACAGCGCTATACATTTTAATAAACCATCATGATCTTTCAAAAGTCATGTAACTTGCGGGCGGAGGTCTTGCACTAAGAATGTGTTAAGGTCAAGATCAAATTCATACATCAATTTTGAAAAGGGCACATTTAAACACAACGATAAATTTAAGCTTTTAGAGATTTTAAATAAGTAAGCACATGTATCTAACAAGTGCTCTTCAGTTTTATCAGGTTGGTGCAGATGTGTTAACTATATCCCTGGTTTTATCATGTGTGCTATCACGTGATGCAGACAGGTATGTACATGTATAGTAAGGATCTTTGATATCTAGTGTCTTACAATTCAAATATACTAAAATGACATTTGACGTTGAATTTATTCATGGTACATGATTCAATTTTGCAGCTGTAACAAAGTTGCCATGGCCCTTCGGGATCATCTATTTCGGTATATTTCGTGCAGCTTAAGCCGGTGGGTGCTGGGGGGGGGGGGGGTGTCAGGGATGTTCCACTTTTCAAATATCCCCCATTAGGAGACTCAATATTGACAAAACGATTCTGTTATTGTCATGTAATTTTGTAGTTTTCATTGCTTCCTAGAGTTCACCCCTTTTCCAGATTTTTTAGAATAATTTTGTGCACTTACATTATGCAAATAAATAAAGTATACATAAATTATTACGAATATGGTCATCATACTGCTTCTATACAAACAGTTATATGAAATATTATATAAATATATTTGTGTAATATTTTAAACAAAAATGTTTTGTCACAGACATATTAAAGAATAATTAAAAGAATCCACAATGATTGTTATAATGCTTATTATGGTCATGATAAAATAAATGCAATAGACAAAAACTAACACATTGAGGCTAAAATATCTTCAAAATATAAGCAAGAGAGTAGTTGCCATTACAAATAAAACGTTCAATGTCCAATCCATTTATGTTGTTTTTCTCTAGATGAAACAATTTCACTTCCAGTGCGTACTTTCATTTAATTCAGACACAAAGAAGAATCCTTCTGGAAGGATTAAAATTTGCAATAGTGGAGGGCCCAAGTTAACTCATAACATTAGTTTTTAACATTTAACACCTCCATAAAAACTGTATAGGTAATAGTTACTTCTCCAGTAAAATTGTTCAAATGGAACATTAATAATAAAGAAGTGTGTTGGAGTTTTATCAATCTTGAAGAGAATAAATTTCAACGCAAAAAAAAATAACTAAAAGTTTAAAATATACCTATCCTTTGTTTATTAGAATAAAATTAAAAAAAAAAAACACAACAAAACAAGAGCTATCGGAAGGACAGCAACGCTCGACTATTCTTAATGCTTGATAGTTAAAGAGCCTTGATGATGTAAAATTTTCTAAGTTAAGAAAAGGGCAAAATCTTTCTGTAAATCCATGTTACAGGTATAGACCTTTGAGAGAGTCCTATTATGCTCTCAAAAAATATAAAATTTTATAATTTTTTTTCAAAGCCAGATGTTAATAGAATATAAAATTATCTGAGGTGGTATGCAAACTTAAATGAAAATTCTAAGTCAAAAAGGAGGCATATTATTAATTCTGTCAAAATGCTTGATACAGTTACCTCCACCTGTCTACAGATTGGGGTCATGATGGTGAACAAGTGTGCACAGTTTATGGGCATTGAAAATATTTAAGGTGTTACAAAAACTTTAACGTAAATTCTAAGTCTAAAAAGGGGCATATATCTGTCAAAATGCTTGATACAGTTACCTCCTCCTGTCAATGGACTTTGAAAATATTTGACGTAATATTACAAAAACTTAAACGTAAATTCTAAGTTGAACAAGAGCTGTCACAGGCGACAGCGAAGCTCGACTAATTAAAGATTGGACGCAGTAAGGAAGACAAAACTATGAAAGAAAAATCAATTTTGATCTAAATATATCTCTTCTTTTGACAAGAAGTTATAGTTGTTAACATAAATTCCAAATTCAAGGGGGAAGAATTCTGGAAAAAGTCACACAAGAGTTATGGACCTTGTCAAACACATGATAAGAAAATTATATTTGAAGTTTGAAGTAGATAGCTTAAAAAATAAAGAAATTATAATAATAAGTTCAAAGAGAGATAAATCTGATACTGCTTTAAGAGTTAAAACTTGCATGAATATTATATTCGTTTAATCGCATATCCAAAAACAAGAATGCTCTAAAGTAAAAAAATGTAATTTTTCATTGATGAGCTTAAAGAGTAACCCTAACATTAGCATGCCTTATCGTTTGTATACCGCAGACATCATTTTGCATAATTCAATATCTCTGGCAATGATCTTACACTCAAAACTGATTTTTAATAGATATTTGACAGTTATATAGCATGGGATCAATGGGTATTTCTTCTCTTCCCATTTAAATAATTATCAAAAATTATCAAATTTTAAGCGACTTATATAAGTGAACATGGACGTTGCATCAATATCTAATCAGATTACGTTGCATGTACATACAATCTTTGTTCAAACATTCGTGTGTCCATTAACTGTCTGAGCTTTGGAGAGATAGTTTAAACAAGATTTTCTACAAAATGGCTACAGGTCGTGAAATAAATAAAGATATTCATTCTGATGAAGTATTTGATGCTTTGTGTTCGATGTGTAAAAATCGAGGTAAAACTACCGAAGGTGAAAAGTTTTGTGTAGACTGTCATGATTATTTTTGTATAAATTGTGTTCAAGTCCACAGTCAAGTGCCTGTGTGTGTTAGTCACAAGGTGTTGGATATATCACAGGTTAAGCCAGGAACCAATAAAGATTTACCGAGAGCACCAACAGAAAGATGTGACAGACACCTTCATAAATACATTGATATGTACTGTCACAACCATGATGATGTCGGCTGTTCTATATGTATGACGATTGATCATAGGTAACATTTAGCATAATGAACATTTAACGCATTTTTTTTCATGGTTTTATTTCATAAATAGTATGCGTATGCTCATATTAAGATTTGTCAATATATTAAGTTCCAATAAGCATTATTTATAAAGATATTACCGATTTAACATTTCATGAAAATAAAGGGAGGTAATAAGAAATTTATTTTCTATAAATTCTAAGTCAAATTTTCCAGCAAGAAATGAATGCATATACATTGTATTTTATTGATTATATATAATGTGCATAAATATTTGCATATACATATATAATTTTTTGCAAGTGTGGTACACACACAGGAAAAATATCAATCACAAAACATACAGGATATATAGGTTGATACTAGTATAGGTTGATATGTAAGTAAACTACCTTGAATAAACTTATCATTCTGCAAGGTAAATCAAGGTTTATGTGTACAACTGTGTAAGATACTGTAAAAAAAAATTCTTAACTCGGGTTCTTAAACAAACTGAACTTTCTTTTTTCAGATCATGTAAGGATATATTCTACATACCAGAATTTATCCAAAACAAATCTTACCAAGTGGCCCCAAGAGAAATTCAAACAAAGCTGAAGGCATTAGCAAAGACCCTTACAGTACAAGCTGACAAATTAAAGCAGGACAAACATAGGCTGTTGAAAAGAAAGGAGGAGTTACTGAATGATATCAGAAAACTCAGACAAGAAATTAATGACCAACTTGACACACTGGAGAAAAGTTCTATAGATGAGATAGAATATAAATCCAAACATTTTGAAGGCAAGATTGAAGAGGGCCTCAAACAGCTTCAAGCACTCAAAGCCAAGGTTACATCAGCTTATGATAAAATGGAATCCTCAAGCCCAAACCAAGCTGAATTGTTTGTTTATTTAACGATGGGGACAAATGCTGAAAACATTGCCAAAAAATGCACAGAAGATATCACAATGAAGATTACAGCAGATTGCATAGAGCTTCAACCTGACAGAACCCTCCTTCAACAGCTGAAACAAAACAATACAATTGGCACACTTAAACAGAAATCTACAAAAACTGCTGGCACCTTATTTCATGTTACAGGAGGCCGCCCATATTGTGTCCAAGTTAAGTCGGATGAAAACAAATGTCATATCAGCAGTTCCTGCTATATGGAAGATGGTACAGTAATCCTAGCTGATAACGACAACAACAACTTAAAACGGTTAGACAGTAGCAGTTATAGAGTCACTGACTACTGTGAACTATCTGGAGAGCCATATCAAATATGTAAAATTAATGCAACTGAAGTAGCAGTAACATTACCCTCTCGAAACGAAGTGAACTTAATTTCTGTAGACAGAGAAATGAAAACAAAAAACAAGATTAAAACTGACTTTGATTGTTACGGTCTCGCATATGCAAACAATCACTTATATGTTTCTGATGAATTCACATCAGTGTATACTTACACAATGTCTGGAAGGAAACTTAAACAGTTCTGTACTGACCAGTCTGGACATAAACTGTTCTCTAACATTAACAGTCTCGCTGTCAGAAAGGACGCTAGAAGGATTTATGTTGCTGATTATAATAAAGGATTGATAGTACTAGATGGCAATGGTGAGATTGTTACAACATTTAATGGAGAAGAATTACAGGTAGCCACTTGTTGTCATCTTATTGAAACAGGTCGGGTGCTGGTATCTGGATATAAATCCAATAATATTTTGCAGTTTACATCTGATGGTAAGCTGATCGGAGAGGTCATGAAAGCTGTTAAAGAAAACGAAGGAATTCTCTCCATTTGTTGTAATGCAAAATTGTCTAAGATGTGTATAAGCAGATATAATGAAGACAATATTGCCATGTATGATATCTAGTCAGCTAAGGACATGAAAACAAACGGAGATGATATATCCAATCTCCTCCCAGAGATCTCGTTCGTTCCTTTCACAGATCAATGCAATGCAAGCCTGTGTGCAAGAGATTGTACCGTATCAGCAACGTGTACGGTCTGTTGGAATATGAATAGCGTCTTTTTTTATTTTTTTGATTCCCTATAGATAATTTTTTTGAAAACAAATCTTACATAAGTACGATGTTGAATGTTCGGCATGGACAACTGGCGTCGGGATTCGCAAATACGTACATTAAGACAGACTGCAGTATAATGAAAAAACTTAAACTGTTGAAATACTAAACTTAAAATGATAGTTTGGATTACTGAAGTTTTTTGTTGTTGTTTTTTTGCATTAAAACTAAGTGCGAGCGTACGTGCATGTACGTATGTGCGCAAAAGTTTAAGCGTTCGTGCTTATATGGGCGGGGATAGAAAGATCGGTTGCATAGAAATATCATTATGTTCTTTTATTTTATCATTTAAAACACTTGAATTTGTAAAGGTCGCAAAATAAGTTTTAAAATTTTCATTTCATGATAAGTTTGTGAGTTTGGACATGGTTTTATGCATTAATTTTTTTAAACAATATAACCAGGGACAGTTTTTATTCATAAGACTATAAATAGGGCTATAAAATTATATATAGAAAAAGTAGGTATAGAAAGGTTCTACGATAATCACATCGTCGGATACCCACGGCCGAACAATTATCAGTTACGTTACATGTATCAAGCGTGGGCATGACGTTGCAATAATCATAGGCTTATTACTTTTGTTTGAATGTAGCATGTGTATTTGATAGTTTGAATGTATATACTTTCATATGGTTGTATGTATTTATTTACGTTTACAACAAACGGGGTTACGCTTTAGGGGCCTTAAAAAGAAAAAGGTTATGAAAGCTGTAAAAGGAAAGGAAGGAGTTCTCTCCATTTGTTGTAATTTGAATTGTCTTAAATGTATAAGCAGATAATAAAAAGAAAAGAAAGCTTTTGGTTTTTATTAAACTGATTATATGTATAACAGATATAATTATATATGTATCTAAAAACAGTACAATATAATTATATAATACGTTATAAAAAATACAACACTTGCAAACATAGTTTGGAGGGCGCATTGTTGTTGTTTTTCTTTGCATTAAAACTTCACTTTTATGTAAAATTGATAGGAACAAGTGTTGAATAGCAATATCATTGATTATGCACTTTTATTGTTTTCATGCCATGCAGAAACTTGAATTTGAGAAAAGATATAGCGAAGGTCGCAAAATAAATTTTGAATTAGTGTATTCCTAATTATAAATAGTACATGTAGTTACAATGAATTCGTGACAACATGTGACTCTTCGATAAAATTGTTTATTGTCCCACATTCAAACCCTTTATATCAAACCAAACTAATGTAAATAATTAATAAATGTCAAAAGGGTTCAATTGGTATCAGAAATTGTCGAAATATTTAATTGAAAGTTGAAAATACTTTTACACTTCTGCTTCATCTCGAAATTATTGAAAGACGCAAAGTCTAATAAACATTAAATATTGACACTATAATTGATTAACTAAACTGCGGCTTAAAGGGTTCTTTAACACAATCTTAGAACCAGTTCTTGTCGCGGACATGTGGTGTAGTCTAAAGCACGTCCCAGTCATTAACAAATAGCAGACAATTTTATACCATTACCATTGTGCCGTCACGCGCTTATCGTATTAACAAGAACGTACTTGATGAAAACTGTTGAACTTTGGAACACTCAAGGAAGTAGGTTATATAGCCACAGATAAAAAGAAGCTTATCACCATAAATGTTACATGAAGGTAACAAAAGCTTATATTGATTTAGACAAAATATCAAAATACTACTATAATGCTAGAAATAAACGTAAAACTACTTTTGAATTTAATTTGGGTTCCTGATTTGAAGCACCCTATTGATAATGTGCAGCTATCGAAATCTCTTGTCATACATCGATCGATAAAATAGAAATGGCGATGTATGTGAAGCACTGGTATGGATTTAAAGAGCTCCAATAAGGTCAAAAATCCGAAAAACATAACATTTGAATTTCTTACATAGACCAAATGAAGCACAAATGAAAAAATAATATACAAATGATAAAAAAAGGAATACACTTAGGATTGAATTGAAAATTATTCTCTTTTCGTTTGAGTTTTTAGGCGATTTAGGCGAAATGCGTTGAAAACTCTTCATTTTATATTTGGGTATTTTATACAACAACAAGAGCAACCGTCGAGCTGGTGAAACGCTCGACTTTTCTAAATTCCAAGAGCGAACACGTTGTATTTAAATATACCGACGGAACATAACACAAAAGTCGCCATTATTTTGCTAATCATGTCGTCATTCTCACGAATGGTATTGAAAAATAAACACTTTCATAAAAATATTTTTGATGACGTTTCAAATTTAATGTCTAAGCAGTCGTATGCGCTGATACTACTCTTTCAACTTGTTGTACAATGAAACATATCGGTTCATTTACTTTCCGTGGTGCTCGTTTCAGCTTCAGAATTGCATAATACTGTCTTACTTTTGCACAGTTCCCGCGTTATTTGCACATTACTGGATGTACACGGTGATATTGCCAAATATAGAATAATTAACCGTGTTCTGGAGATTGGTGCCACATCGTTTGACGCCGGATCAAGCGGAACATTGGAATGTCTTCGGAAGGGCAAGACTTAAATCTTAATATCAAGTATCGTTGCTATCGATGGAACGTGGGTGAGGTCGTATAAACCGGAGCTGAAAAGACAATCAGTCGAGTGGCACACACAAAGCTCAACGAGGCCGGCGAAGTATAGGTGAACTCAATCTAAACTTGAAATGTTGATGAGTTTTGCCTTCGATAAATATGGAATTTCCACAAGAGACAAGGTCCAGAGTGGTAAAACGATTAATTGGAAATACTATGAGAATATTAAGAAAACACAGGCGATCCGTACGAAGATCTAAACTAATGGCAGCCGGTCCATTACTTCTACATGAGAACGCAACATCGCACGGCGTGCATTCTGTGACGTCATTGCAAGAATTATTTGAGTGGGAAGCCCTGAACTATTCCCTTATTCCCCGGAAATAATTCCTTGTGACTTTGACCTTTTTTCTCCAAACTAAAGGAGGACATGATGTGTATTCGTTATAACGATTTGAGCAACTTGAATTTGCCGTGACCGCGAGGGTGAGGGTGCTTGAGAATGGTTGCTTAGCAACCGGCATTGATGACCTGTCAAAAAGGTGGAAGGCATTTATCTCAAGGGATATTATTTTGAAGGAATGAAGAGAGGTAGCAACCTTATATTTATTTCTAAAAACATTTAACAGATTACATTACATAATGAATGACCCTCGTATAAAGCGCTATACATTTTAATAAACCATCATGATCTTTCAAAAGTCATGTAACTTGCGGGCGGAGGTCTTGCACTAAGAATGTGTTTAGGTCAAGATCAAATTCATACATCAATTTTGAAAAGGGCACATTTAAACACAACGACATATTTAAGCTTTTTGATATTTTAAATAAGTAAGTACATGTATCTAACAAGTGCTCTTCAGTTTTATCAGGTTGGTGTAGATGTGTAAACTATATCCCTGGTTTTATCATGTACGCTATCACGTGATAAAGGCAGGTATGTACATGTATAGTAAGGATCTGTGAAATCTAGTGTCTAACAATTCAAATATACTAAAATGGCATTTGACCTTGAATTAATTTATGGTATCCGAATTTAGCAGGTGCCAAGTTCCGTGTGACCACTGTAAAAAATGGCATGGTCCTTCGTGATCATCGATTTCCGTACATTTCAGATGAAGAGCCGATGGGGGGGGGGGTCAGGGATGTTGCAATTTTCAAATATTCCTCATGAAGAGACTCAATATTGGCAAAACAAATCTGTAATTTTCATGTAATTTTGTAGTTTTCATTGCTTCCTAGAGATCATCCCTTTTCCAGATTTTTATGATAATTTTGTGCACTTACATTATGCAAATAAATAAAGTTATACATAAATTATTACGAATATGGTCATCATACTGCTTCTATACAAACAGTTTTATTATATGATCTAAATATAGCTGCAATCTCATTTGTCCAAAGAGTAGTCGACAGAACTTTTTATAAAATCATATTCACTGGGTGTGGTATCATATTGTATTTTCCAAGTCTAAAAATAGATTGAGCCTCATACTCAATGACCATACACCGTAGACTGTTAATTACACATGTTAATTAAAACAATAATCGTTGCTTTTTGTTCTTTATGGCATATTTCTCGATTAAAATATCATAACTTTACTATTATACATAAAGGCTACACCGCAATGATGAGTATTAACTTTTGGTATGCGCGACGTTCGCGTAGTCGTTGCACGCCTAACATGTGCGTCTTTTTCCCGCGCTTCAACGAAGCAAAATTTGTACATGTATATAAGGTTGTACTTTTTGTGATTTTTTTTTATTTCTTAGCCTATTCATATAATAAAACAATTATTGACTAGTGAGCCATTGAATATGATGTGATATTCACCGACAGAAAGTCATAATGACCTCGGCTATCGCCTCGGTCAATATGTCATCTGCCGGTGAATATCACATCATATTCAATGGCCTACTAGTCAATAATTGTATAAAATGAACTATTTATATCAATATACTTGTGCAATATTTTAAACAAAAATGTGCTTTGTCACAGAGATATAAGAGATAATCATAAAGATTCTCAATGAATGTTGTAATGCTTTTTTTAAACACAAAATAACAACAATGGCCACGATAAAATTATGTGACATAGACAAAACCGACACCTTGAGGCTAAAATTTTATTAAAAGGGAGATAATAACACAAGATGTGTCGGAGAATAGTTGCCCTTGCAATGTCCAATCCATATGTATTGCATTTCAATTTCACTTCTAATGCTTTCATTCAATTCAGACACAAACCTTAAGCTGGAAGAATTCAATTCAAATTTGCAACAATGAGCCAGTGATTCAAACCACTTGAACATGGAGAAGCCAAGTAAACTTATAAAATAGTTTTTAACATTTAACACCTCCATGAAAAAACCTGTATCATTCTGTAATTGCTACTTCTTTAGTAAGATTGTTACATTATTAAATAAAGAATTGTGTTGGAGTTTTATCAATCCTGAAGAGAATAAATTTCAACGCCAAAAAATAACTTAAAGTTCAAAATATACCTATCCATTCATTTGAAAACCTTCAATCTTGCCTAAGTTTGTGAATACTAATAAAAATTAAACAAGAGGGCCCAGAGGGCCCTGGATCGCTCACCTGAGAAATAGGTCAAAAGGTCAGTGTTGCCCCTTTTCACCCCAGAAGCATAATTTGAAAACAAGGGACAGCTAAATCTGATTTTTTTTTGTACACTGTCACCAAGGAAATGTTTGTGTACAATTATTTCAAAACTGAACCAGTAGTTAAGATGTGGTTTAGTTGTTGTTGTTTTCCAATTTTAACTCTGGCAGCCATTTTATTAAACAGTTCAGCCTGTCAATAAATGAGGTGAGCTAATAAAAGCATGATAGAAAAAGAGAGGGAAAATAAACATTTGACCTGGCTGGAAATTGAACTGTCAACCTTGATCCCCTGGGGCGGGGCCAATTTTGACCCTAGGGGTTTTATTTCAACAAACATAGTAGACATACACTAGAACATGTTTCATGCCAAATATCTAAGCTCTAGGTCTTTCGAATATTCACAAGAGAACTTTTTTAAGTTTCTACTATATACATGTATATATAAGGAAACTCAATGATCCCTGGGGTGGGGTCCATTTTGACCCTAGGGCTTTTATTTGAACAAAAAAAGATTATTTTAGTTTTTACTTTATATATATTTAAAGAAAATCAATGACCCCTGGAGCCTGGCCAATTTGATCCTCGGGCATTTCTTTGAACAAACTTAGTAGACATCCACTAGAAGATATTTCATGCCAAATATCTAATCTATAGCGGTTTTAGATTGTTACAAGAAGATTTTTAAGTTTTTACTATATGCATATAAGGAAAATCAATGACAATCTGGGCGGGCGTCAGTTTAGACCCTAGGGGTTTAATTTGAACAAACTTGGTAAACATCCACTAAAAGATGTTTCATGCTAAATATCTTATCTATAGTGCTTTTAGATTGTCACATGAAGATTTTTTAGTTTTTACTATATACATGTAAGGAAAATCAATGACCCCCTGGGGTGAGATCAATTTTGACCCTAGAGATTTTATTTGAACAAACTTGCTAGACATCTGTTAGAAGATGTTTCATGCTCTATATTTAAGCTCTATCTCTTTTAGATTTTCACAAGATTTTTTAAGTTTTTACTATATACATATAAGGAAAATCAATGCCCCTGGGGCAGGGCCAATTTTGACACTAGGACTTTTATTTAAACAAACTTGGTAGACATCCACTAGAAGATGTTTCATGCCAAATATCTAAGCACTAGCTCTTTCGGTTTTTTACAAGAAGATTTTTTAAGATTTTTGTAAAACAAATCTTATGGTTGCCATGACAAACAGAGTTCTTCATGCAATTTAATTCTTTGAATAACTTTGCAAGAGCTTCATGCAAGGAACATCTCTGCAAAGTTTCAACAAATTTGGCCAAGTGGTTTAGGAGTGGTTTTTGTATACACTAGTATTATTGTATTAACAATACCCTTCCAAAACATTACATTACAAGCACTGTAGGGATTAAAAAAGTACACTGTTTTCTTACACACTAGATAGAAAATCTGCAAGAGTTCCTTCTGTTTTCTTTTCCTGTTCTTTTTTTAAAATGTTACTCAAGTGTTGGCTCATTTTCTTGGACCTTTGTTTCTTCTTTTGTCGTTTCTGAACACTAGGTAAAGTCTTTGGTATGGAGGCGATTCCAGTTTTAGCACTGGTTTGTTTATTTGTTTGTTTGTTTTGTATTTGTGAGTAACTTCGGGTATTACTCTGTAACACATCTTCTGACATTGTTTTATGACTCCTATTTTTCTCTTTTACAGTTTCAGTTCTACACAATTTTTCGATTTCATTTGAAGGCGTTGAGGGTTTTGTAAGATGGTCATCATCTTCAAATGATTCTGGTAATCTTGGGTTTAATCTGAAATATAAGAATATTTGAAATTGTATAGAGTAAGAAAGATCAGTTCATGTAATATGACCTAAGCAAGATGTCAAACTGTTATAAAGTATTTCAAGTTAATGCCGTTCTATTTGAAAGACACCGAGTTAATCAAGGAATTATGGAAAATGGATGATAAATTCAATTGTAAAGCAGCCATGTAAATAGATAAAACATGTATTAATATGTAGCCAATGAAAATCAATCTTACAAACATGCAGTTTTAAATTTTGTTTGATTGTTTGATTGCATTTTACATTACACTGACACAGTTAGGTCATATAGCGACGTTCCGTAAGGAAGACCTCAGGTGCCCTTCCATGCATTATTTCAGGTACGAATGGGCACCTGAGTAGAATCACTGACGTTCCATAAGCTTGCTGGATAGCTTCCTCACATGAAAGAATCCAAAGCCCATGTCGGGATTCGAACCCACTGCAGTTAGCGCAGTTAAATGATCATTACTAAGTATTGTATATCTTAATATAAGCCATATAAATGTACATGCAAAATTAAGCTATATGCTAACATATACCTTTATTCCAGATAAGACGGCAACAAATTATCTATAAGTTTTATGCTAGCAAATAAGCTTCATCTAGATTTCAAGGTAAGAAAAAAATATCATCTACATGTTTGATCGAAGTATGTTTCAGAGAGTAAACACACCAGATGTAATATTTTCGTGAGTGGCATACCTACGACTTAAATATAAGAGCTGGGGTTCATGAGTGAAATGTATTTTGATCTTACATACATTTTTTAACAAACATAATTATTTTCTATTTGTTTCATGCTTTTTCAGGGGTTTAACCCATTTGATTTTACTGGTATTTGCTGGTCATTTCTGGAACATTATTTTTCACAATCTTCGGTATTCAATCATTTTCACTATTTATAACTGGAATTAACTACTTATAGCGATAAAGGATGTGTGACTAAGCAATCTAATGCCAAAAATTTTGAAAAAATAACCTTCTGGAAATAACCTATTTGCTACAATTTTTGCCGATGTTTTCTTTGGGGAGAAAGCATTACAGTACGCCTTCCTGAAACAAATCACTACCAAAATTGTTATCACTTACAAAATTGCTCATAGTAAGTAAATAACAGTAGCTAACCTGTCTTCAGTAACATCTTGATCAGCTGCTAGTCCAGTACTTCTAGGTATTTTCAAACCAGCAGTAATATCTTCTTCTGTCAAACCATCTGCTTTCCTCTTCCTCTGCAACTTCTTCTTCTCTTTCTTTTTTTCCTTTTTACTCGGAACTTTAATATCTGACAACATTGTGAAATAAAAATGTATTATAACTGGAAATAAAAGTTGCTAGAGTACTGTTGACTGTAATATATATACTTTTTTGAAAGCTGTAAATAAAATGTCGGAATGTAACAAAAGTTTTAAACAAATGAAAAAGGTTGGAATCAAACAGCACTAAAAGTTTAATTTTTCTTAAATGTAAGAATTGTTTATGCTAGTGAAAAAAGACTGCTAATAAAACACTGAAAGTTTAATTTCTTCAAGTGTAAGAAATATGCATGTCTAATGTTTAACCAAGGAAAACCAAGTAAAAACATTTAGACTAAATTATCCTTTAAATTCAATAATGAAATCACAAGCCACTAAAACCAATTTTTTTGAGAAATACCTTCTAATTCTTCTTGTAAATTTAATTTCTTATTCTGAAGCAAATCAAATTTCTGCTTTTCGGCTCTTGAAAGACCTGGCACTTTTGATGTCTTCTTACAAACATTGCAGGTAACTGTCTACAAAATAAAAAAAATCCAATTGTTTATTTATTTATTACCTTATTTATTTATTGAATGGGTTTAACATCACACCAACACAGTATAGATCATATGGCGACTTTCCAGATTTACTGGTGGAGGAAGACATCAGGTGCCCCTCTGTACATTATTTCAGACACAAACAGGCACCTGAGTAGAACCACCTACATTCCCTTTGCCAACTCGATAGCTTTCTCTCATGTAGAATCTGACAATGCTTGCATGGCTCCAACCTTCAGTGGTAAGAGGATAGTGCTTTGAAGTTAATGGAACTGCGTAACCACTCAGCCGATTCAAAAAGCCCCTTTATCTATTTTATTATATGCAGTAAACCAAAATAACTTCCTGATGTAATTTCAATAACATATTCAACATTTCAATGATATACTGAGCCGTGTCCACGACAAAACCACATAATATAGGCTTTGCGACCAGCATGGATCCAGACCCAGCCTGCGCATCCGCGCAGTCTGATCAGGATCCACGCTGTTCGCTTACAAACTCTATAATAAGTAGAGAAACTGATTGCAAACAGCATGAATCCTGATCAGACTGCGCGGATACGCAGGCTGGTCTGGATTCATACTGGTCGCAAAGCCATTATGTATGTTGGTTTTGTCGTGACACGGCTCATATAGAGGATATTGAATGTGTGTAAGTTCAATAATTAACTTATTAAACAAATTGAATGAAATCACATTATGCAAGACTCTGACTACTACATGTACATGTATATCCCAAAATATATTACTCCAATTTTTAGCACAACTTAATGCTTATTGTTTGGAAATGTCCCCGAAAAATAAAAACATCATCACAAAATATCCATTCTTATAGACAACAAAATTGTTTAATTACATAGTTACCTAGGCTAACACTTAAGAAGGCTTAAATTTAACAAAGCTTACAATTAGCTAAATCATTCAATATTTCAAAATCATTCAATAATGAAATATATGTGAATAGTTTCATACAAACCAGTGTATTTTTGCTGTGTATATAGTCATTTACAAGTTTAGTTTGGAATTTTCCTAGCGTAGAAGATTCTTTCTCATGTCTTGTCAACAATCTTTTTATGTTTTTATTGAGGGCTGGCTTTGGTATGATCCGAACTTTGTGGTTGCCTCCAGAAAACTTGTTACAACAAAATACACATTGGCTGAACAAATCTACAAAATAATATATAACTGTGTTACTAAACAGAGCAAAGATGTTAAATGTGAAATACAGTAAACTCCACTTATAACAATATATACTGCTTATAAAAATATATGGCTTATAACAATATACTTCCCCATATAACAATATACCTCTTATTACAATATACTATCCCTTTAATAACAATATACTACTCCTTTTAACAATATACTGCTTATAACAATATACCACTCATACCCAAATACCAGTTATAATGATATACAGTTTATACCAAGATACCACTTACATTTGTATAACATAATACCACTTATAACTACAGCTTATAACAATATACCACTCATACACATATACCACTTATAACGATATACAGTTTATAACAAGATACCACTTATAAAAATATACTACTTATAACAATATACTGCTTACACTAATATACCGGTTGTAACAATATACCGCTTATAAAATGCAATAATATTGCCGCAGTCCTGACCTTTGTTTACATAATAGTTACCTCTTAAATATTGTTACAAGCTGAGTTTACTGTACATGTATGCATGCCCCAATAATGAAAATCAATTATTCCTGTCATATGTGCTATTTTCATCTGTTACCTTCTGTAAAGATCAGGATTCTATATTAGAATGGTCACTGCCACCTTGTCACTGACTTGATATTCTGTTATCACTGCAGTTCAATGATAACTTTTAGCACATGTTTATCTTTATTAACAATATAATCTCAAAAGAATTGAAACGTTAAACAAAGATTTGAGCCGCGTCACGACAACACCAACATAGTGCGTCTGCGACCAGCAAAGATCCAGACCAGCCTGCGCATCTGCGCAGTCTGATCAAGATCCATGTTGTTCCCTATCAGTTTCTCTACTTGTAATAGGGTTGGTAAGCGAACAGCATGGATCTTGATCAGACTGCCCGGATGCGCAGGCTTGTCTGGATCCACGCTGGTGGCAAGCGCATTATGTTGGTTTTGTCATGACGCAGCTCATTTTAATTTACAAAGACCAAAGTGTATGAAACTCTCTTAGCTCCTTCTTATGTTGAAATAATTGGGTTTTATATCACAAAAAACAACACTGTGAAGGTCATGTGGCTACTTTACAACTTTACTGTTGCAAACAGGTAACAAAATGCGGAATTACTGTGATCTCATGTTCCTCTCTGTGTGTATTAGCTAGAACTGGAGACCGAGTATAACCACAGGTTACCCCTGAGATACCTCACAGCTGTCTCAAAGAAGAGTTCAATGCCCCATGCAAGATTCAAACCCTGTGACCGTCAAGTGATTTTGTCTGAGTAAGAACCCTTATATATAACCACTCGGCCACAAAGGCAATTTGTATTTTCATCAAATACAAGTTTTATGATTAGTAAGGGTGGATTAATCTATTGTGATTAAACAAGAGGATTTGAAGAACAATATGGTTTATAATGAAGTATGCCTTATCTTGTACTACTACTAATACTTATTATACATTAAAAGACTTCAATAAGCATTAGGTTGCTTCCAGTCTAATCTTTTTTAGTTATGGATTGTAAATGTGAATAAAGTATGTAAATAAATATGTATGTTCTTTTACCTTCTAATGTGACAAAATAAAATGACTGTTAATAACCAAAATGAATTTGCGCGGGTAAAAGAATAACACGGGGTATATAAACGATTTTGACCCCAGAACGCGGATCCTTGTGAGAAGTTTTAAGTGTCAGCCCATATTCTGCCACTTCACTTGTTTTAACGATATTGGTATTTAATATTGAAATACTGATGGGACGTTAGGTTAGTAAATCTATATTTATATTATAAAGAAGAGAAAACTTTATTTAAACGTCTAAGGTTATGCAAAACATAAACGTTAGCACGAAGGCTATAAAATAATCGAAACTCACGAACAGCTTTCAGGTGATCAACAACTGAAACACGAACAAAAATCCGTCTTATTCCAATGGTTGATTTAGTTAAACATTTGAATTGTGAATATCGAACTACTTAAAGTAATCAATAACAAACGATAATTTAGTCATTTATGCCCATAACATAATTGCTGTATTCTGAACATAAATTTAAGAGTTTACCAAGGAGGTCATTTTCCGTAAACTGAACGTTACTTGCTGGCGATTGTGAACCCTACTTGTGAGTTTACGAATTTTATCTGTACCCTGACTTGTGAGTATTTTTAAAGATTTATTGGAGAAAAAGTTTACGTTCATTGCGATTTTATATCAATTATTGCCAGAAAATATAAATGATTGTAATAGAATTTTAGTATATAAGGTGGGATCTAAGGTATTTACCGAGAATTGGTTTAACTGATAATATTGTCAATCATTTGTTTAAAAATATATAGAGGATATTCAAGTTTTTTCTATAAATACATGATTTATTTTCATCGAGTGGTATGAAAATAAATATTTCATGAGTGGCGGTAGCCACGAGTGAAATATGGTAATTTTCATGCCACAAGATGGAATTAAATCGTGTATTTAAAGAAAAAACTTGAATTTTCTGTTTATTATATACATTTTTCTCTTTCTTGACATTAAAATTTGAAAGACTTTCCCTTAAATTGTGTGTACTGGTAGAATTTAAAAGAAAGTAGTCCGGCAAGACACCAGTGAAAATACAGAAAATATGTTTCACTGCAGTGAAAAATAAATTTTTACAGTGAAAATACGGAAAATGAAAATACGCATTTTATTTCATCAATATTTCATTTATAAGTATATAATAAATAATGCTATGTATATTTTTCTTTCGGATCACCATGGAAGAATACAACTGCATATACTGTTCAGTAAAGACTACGAATTTCAATGCCATCATTGACCACATAATTATTCGCCATCCAGACTGCAACTTGAAAATAAGAATAAATAATGATCAGAATAAAATTTCCTACTTAAAAAATTTCAGCGTCACAGCCAATAACATAAATAGAGGATATTGAATGAGTGTAAGTTCAATACTGAATTGATTGCACGAGTTGAATAAAATTATATTATGCGAGCCTCTGGCGAGCATAATATTATTTTATTCAACGAGTTCAATAAATTCAGTAATGAACTTACACGAATTTAATATTCTATTTAACACATACCCAAAATAAAGACAGTTTAAAGTGAAATAAGAGTCATTTTTTTCATTGATGCGCCTACAGTATAACGCTAACATTTAGCGCGTCTTTACGCTATGTTTGTATTACGCTAATGACGTCACGTCAAATTATATGCACGGCGGTGCAATACCATATTTACGGAGTCGCAAAATCGGCACGGATATGTGATAAACGAAAAAAAGAAGTTTATAACACCAACAGCTGAAACACTGACAATTAAAATTTCAAAATTTCCCGAATATTCTCCGTTTAAAAAGATGCCAAATTTGTCGACATCTATGAAAGATATACAATAATAAATGTCGTACATGTCAGAAAAAGAAAGTCAATGAATTTCTGAGAATATAAAACAGTGTTTAAAAAAGCAGAATGAAATCAACGGTAGGTGTAAAGCTTTCAACATGTTGAAATAAGTAATCTGCAAAAAAATCTTGTAATAATATTTCGAGGTTTTTTGATACGTGACGTTATATAACGGTCACGTCAAAACTAAAAACAATGCCGTTGAACTAAATATAAACAATTTGTAGTACATATGTAATATTTTAGCTTTATATCTTTCCAAAGAAAAATGAAAGGTAAGTGGAGGTGAGGTTTGTTAGTTAATTATTCCTATCAAGAAATAATTGACTTTCTGATTCGTTTAAACAGCTACTTCATGCCGGTATTTTCGTAGACAGTGAAAACATGACGAAGCTCCTCCATTCATATGCAGTTTTAGTTACTTACATGGAACTAAAACATGCACCCTTCTCTTGTGACAAAATAACTTCATATTCTGCACATTAAAATTTGGAACATACGACAAAAACACAATAAAAATCATCAAAAGTGACTCGCAAGTAATGGTTCAGTGAAAACACAAGTAGGGTACAGATCATTAAAATTGTTTTAGCAAGACGGGTACAGTTTTCAGAAATGTCGCCTTTATTATTTACAATGTTTATCAATATTCAAAGATATTTTCACAAGTGTCTGTCCGGTAACATGAGGTTAAGACAATAAAGTTAAGATTCAGATATGAGTTATAGTGAAAATAAAACAATTTTAGGCATGCATTTGCTTGTGTAATCGGCGTGTGTTGACATAAACAAAATATGAGAGGCGAAGAGCACAGCGTTTTTTATGCGCATATATTTTACGAAGAAGGTTATGGATGTATTTTAGCAAAGATAAAATTATTTCTTAATTTGATTCAAATGTCAACATACCGTAACATATTAAATTCAAGCCGATTTTTAATAGTTTAATGTGTCATTACGCCTGATTGTACGTTTAGATGCTGAGATCTTCTCACAAGATCCGGTTGGGGTTCAAATCGTTTATATACTGTGAATAAGCTGACGTAAACCCATTAACTTCTGACACTTAGTGTCAAAAGCTGGATAGCTCCTTAGATTTTGCTATGATGTTTATATAATGTACACAAAAGAAGCTTAAATATCATGTTTTAATAAGCCTTTTCAATATGTGAAACTAATACTTTTAGACTTACAGAAAATGTTTACATTAGTTATACAAAATTATAATACTGCATAAGAAGGTTCTTACCTTTCATATTATTTTTATCCCCTTTATTGAAATCATGCAACTTAGTCTTGGAGCTGTAAAGGAAATAATAAAAGTCAATTTAGTGAATTAACATATCTTTACTCTTTATCATGCATACTAGAGGGTTAATATGCACCTTTTTGTGAATTAAAATCTGCAGAAGCACAAGGAGATATTAAAAGTCCGAGCATGCAGGGTGAGGCATTTTATAAGCCCAAAGGGCTTCTGTATAAGAAATGGTGCATTAGTAATATTCCTGCATAAAAGTATACATCTAATTCAGTAATTCCGCATTTTGTTACCTGTTTTACGTAAAAAGAAAAGATGTTTTCATGCTTTCCATGTGCTAGTGTAATGTCAATTGACAAATTTTGATAATAAATACATGTACAGTAATAAATCTATACCTGATGAAATTTTCAGTGTCAGTACTAGTGGGGTGCCGCCATTTTCAATGTAACTCAATCATAATAGGCGGGGTATTCCGATAACGGAACCAATCTAAACTTTTTGGATTAATAATAATCATAGTGTTCCGAGTGAAAAAGGAAGCGGGAACATGGAATACCGAATGACACCTTTAAAACAGAACAATGAAAGGATTTTTTACCAACTTCCCTCTTCATAGGCTTTGCCTAATTTCATATTACTAGATCTATTTCTAGGTAAAAGTAAATCGAGCTTGCTTCGAGGCTTTGACTTTTTAGGCCTATTCGTGTGGATATGCATTTTATTTGAATTTTAAGGCGTTTGGAGCTACACACCCAAAGCGTCTGTGGTATTTGCCATGGATGCCAAACCGTGAGACAGTATTCTAACTAGGGCCTCACATGTGTTATAACCAGTTTCTTTGAGTTTTGACATTTCTTTATCTGAGTGATTTATTTGCTTTTGCTGTTGTTTTTTACGTACTAGTAATAATTTGCTAAGGTTTGGCAAACATCTTGTGTAACTGCTGCAAAAGACTTGTATTTTATTGTATTATTTTCCATTTTGAAATTATTTTTGCGTTTTTATCAATCTTTAATGGGCGCAGCCATGTTTTTTCAAGGGACATGTTCTTAAAGATTTCATACCAAAGTTACTTTATTAATGTGTATATTTTACTATTTTTTCTCATGCCTAACATATTCAGATATTAATTTCTATTTCTTTTAAAACATAATTCATATAAATTAAAGGATTTTTACGCATTTTATTGATATTTACAATAAAAATTAATTCATAACAATAACTTCTCCCTGTTGGTGTCACATGACCAAAACATGGCAGCCAGACAAGCAATTGATGGGTTTCTAAGTTCAGGCCAATACCGGCCGGTATTGTCAGTCATAAAAGGGTTAAGAAATGGAGCAGTGTAAGATTTTATGTATTTGTAAAGCATTGGTAACAATATGCACTCACCTTATTTATAACTGTGTTGATAATTTAGTAGAAAATTAAAAAGAAGAAACTGAACTTTTCGCCCCAAGACAAACTCGAACCTTTTGCATCTCGTAATTTGGCCGTTTCGTAATAATTAAGTTTGCTTTTATTAGATAAATTGAAAATATATGTCACTGAGTGACAAAAAATGTGCAGCCTGCACCCCGGACCCCATGGAATACTTTTCCGGTGCTCTACCGACAGAGCTATCCAGCCGCTTACAATCTACCCTTATTACTTAATGACATACTCCTCCACTATATATATATAAATGGTACCACTAAAATACGCAACGGAGATTTTTTGGCGCAACGGGCGCAACGGAGTGCAAAATTTAAAATATGGCAATAAAATACGAATAGCAATGCATTTTTTAAATTTATATTAGTATGTGGTGAATAAAATAATGTTTTGAATTAATAGAAATCATCTAAAAACAATATTTTCTATATTATAAGCATTGTATTGTTGTAATACCGATCATATCTCCGTTGCGCAAAAATTCATTGGCGCAACGGAGATTTATTTTTTTCAAAACTAGCAAACAAAGTACTTTTAATTGAATTTGCATTAGTATATACTAAATAAAGTCATATATTGATATTACAAAATCAATGTTGTGTATTTTATTTATTATAAACATTCATTGTATTGTTGTTATATCTTTCATAAACTCCGTTGCGCCGATGGATTTTTGCGAAACGGAGATTTTATTTTCAAAACTGTGTACTGTTTTTTATGTCTAAAACATAAAATAATCATATAAGTTGGTATTGTAGATATTTTATACATATTTTTAACATAGACTGTATAAGTTTGTTTTTATTAGGTAGCATAATGAATATATCAGATTCTAAATGGACGGCGAAATGGACATAATTTCGGCGCAACGGAAAATGAAGATTTGCATTAGGGGTAGATATTATGTTTAAACATAAAGAATTTTAGAATAATAATAATTAATTTTAAAAATGAATACTTTCCTATATGTTGAAAATATGATATAAGATAAAAACATTTAATGAATATTGATTATATCAGATTCTAAATAGACGGCGAAATGGATATAATTTCGGCGCAACGTAAAATAAAGACTTGCATAACTGGTAAATCTTATGTTTAAACATAAAGAATTTTAGAATAATAATAATTAATTTTAAAAATGAATACTTTCCTAAATGTTGAAAATAGGATATAAGATAAAAAAATATTTATCTAACGGCGAAATGGACACATTTCGGCGCAACGGGGATTATCATAATAGTTTAATTATATTTAATTATATATTAAGTTATTTCTTTTCTTCATTAATCATTGTGTACTTTTTAAATTATTGTGTATACATTGTATACATTTCATCAAAAGCAATCCAAATATTTCATAATTATGATATTAAGGTAATCAATTATGATATTAAGGTAATCAATTACGCGGGAATTGTTAGCAATTAGCCAAGTATCGTGCACGTGTATGGCACGGGTGTTTAATGTTTATAACACTTGTAATAGAAAACTTGACCGTCATAATTACTACCTGGAAATTTGCACCTGTTTTGAGAACCAAGTGTCACGGCGGCATCTTTTATGACAAATTTCCATCAGAAGAAGCGGGTTGGTAATTAATTTTAATTTAACAAAGGGTTATATATCAAAAGACCCGAAAACATATATATGTCATATTTGTTCCTATCTTAATTCTTCTTCTTTAAGAATTCAAAATGGCTAGATATCCTTGTTATGTGTGTTCCAAGAATTGTTCGGATAAATGTATCTTCTGTGAGGTATAGATTGTCATATTTTTTTTATTACATTCATTATAAGATAAATGAAATAAATGAAATCCAGAAATGTGTTTATTTTTATTGATATGAAAATTACAGGTTTATGTTACAATATGATTTAATCACAATGTTTTTTTGAATGCATTCAGCACACAGTACTTAAATAATTTCAGTCCACCTTGTTGTAAACCTGGATGCACTTTATCGTCGTCGTAATGTCTATCGAATTTTAGTCTTTTCCCTATCTGAATGAAATCTTCTCTGTAGTATTTTTTCAATTTCGAGTTGACCGAATTTCTCATCTTGTTGAAAATGGACCGATTGAGTCCAGTCCAGTGCGGGAATTTTCCACGCTCTATAATGCTAGCAACAAATACACGCTGCACACCAGCTTTGTACATTTTGTCTACAATGTCAATTATCTCTAAATACACAGTATGTGGATTACAGTCGGCGTTAAATGAATTTCCTCCCAAGTTCAGGAACACATATCTGAAATGAAAATAAAATATATATAAGGATCAGCAACAAAAAATAATAAAAACGCAACAAAATCCCTGTATTTTAAAGACATGATTTTTTTTAAGTATTTTGAACTTTATGTAAATCTTACCGAATATGTCTTATTTAAATAATAACAGTTTTTTTTTAACAAAATGTATTGAAAGCTGCGTTATGGAATAAGTAAATCTGGTCATACCTGGTCCTTTAGGAAATTCATTCATGGACACGAAAAAAGTTTTTCAAACTTTTCGCGCCCCACATAGTGCTTTATCATATGTTCCTGCTGGTAGGAAAGATGGACACTTCTATATTGTGGACAATACCGACAACATGAGTAAACGTGAACAGGGTCAAAAAACTGAGTTCTGGGATGATTATGGTGCTTGGAAAAAGCCTTCCTGCCCAAAAACATTGTTTGTCCAAGATAAAGATCGAGTAGTGACAGTTGTATTACGTGATAACAAATATTGCGTTGAAAGAACAATAAAATCAAAGAGAGTGTACGTGCCGCTAGAACCACAACCGGAACAAGCAGATGTATTAGTAATGCACCAAACATATCAAACACTTAACGCATCCAACACGTGCAAACGACGCATAACATGGTTCGGCAACACACCGGAAAATTTCAGTTACCTGCCAAAAGACCGTGCTTTAATAGAATATATTGGAAAATTTCCTGGTGCTCAATTCCACGGCAATGTTAAAAACGCACAGAAGAACCAAAAATACATAAAAACAAAAGAGAAGGTTAAGGCAGAATTAAAAAGTGAATTAAAACATAAAAGCGCAAAACAAGTAGAAAAAAAGATGAATAGTGAACACGATAATGACTTTGACAAACAAAGAGACGATAAACAATTAATGAATTTCAAATACAATCTAAACAAGAAAGATAAGCCAAATTCCAACGCCGCAGATCATATAATTGCGGTTGAAGAAATGGTTAAGAATAATGGCTGTGTACAAAGGGTGTGCCATGTACAGGGATTAAATCACCCTGTCATAACTTTATATAATAATCAACAAATATGTGATATTAAAAGGTTCTGTTGTAAAGAAGGTGGTGAAATCTTAGGACTAGATAAGACTTTTAATCTTGGTGACTTCCATGTTACCCCGACAGTATTTAAAGATCGATCAGTTTTAAGAAGAACTAACATGGAACATCCTATCTGCTTCGGACCGACGTTTATTCACACCAATTCGTCGGCGGACACTTATAAAATATTCATGCATCACATTGCAGACCGTTTGACAGATAATGAAATCGACAATCTAGTTATCGGAACAGACGAAGAGCTCGCCTTTAAAACTGCGATACATAGATGCTTTTCCGGTGCTACACACGTTCTTTGCACCAGACATTTAAAGAATAATACTTTGAAATACATGGAAGAACATTCCGGGTGTACACTCAAAGAAAGACAAAATATTTGTGGTTTGATTTATGACAAAAATGGAATAACTGAATCGATGGACGATGATACATTAAATGTTCGCGTAGATAATGTGCGTTCCTTACTTGTTAAGCCAGAAAACCAAAGGTTCTTGAACTATTTTGAAGACAGATTACTACCTTTGTTGAAAGAACATATCATTACGCCTTTCAGACAAGGGAAAATTGAGTCTAATTGGACAAGTAACAATTCGGAAAGCGCAAATCATGTACTTAAGGCAGCTGTGAATTGGAAGATATGTGACTTACCAAAATTCATAGAGAGTTGGCAGGAAATAGTAGATAATGAAAGTAAAGAGAGACTAAGGGCAATAAGAGGGATGGGAAACTTTAAAGTGGCTCGACCATTCGAGCATCATTTGGTCGACGTTTCAACGTGGTCTATGATGACTGGTGACCAGCAGAACAATCGGATGAAACGATTTAGAAATGATAAAGGGCGATTTCACGCTAACGAAATCAGGTCCTCAAACGGACAACGAACGGTCATTAAAACCCCATCAGCTGGCAAAAAGCCTAATCAACAAAAACGAAAAAGGGCTGAAAGGTCGAGGACACCGTCTTGTAAACGGCGTGTCCTTTGTGATTAGTTATGTGAACACTGTATATAAAGCGAACAACATATTTCATGTCATGTATATTATGTATATATAATTTCAACTAATGTATTTGTTAAACTAATAATATACTTTGTGCTTATTATGCTATCATACGATATGTTAATGTTTGTGTATATACTTCGTTTTATTTGCATTGCTTAAAGTTACATTAAATAAATATGTTAAAATATTTTTGCCGTCGGCCTAAAAACCAAGCATTCTACAGTTTCATTAACCTTTTTAACAGTATCGTTGTAAATCTCATCAAATATTGTTCATAAATTAGGATTTTAAATGGAAAACCCTACGGTAACACTAAAGTACGTATACGAATTGTAACATGCAAATGAAGACTATAATCAGCCCGTGTATGCGCTACGTCACGGAGTTATAGTTGCTATCCGGAACACAGCAAATATAAGATTTTCTTGTGCAAACACACTTTTACCGTTTAAGCTTCACGGTGCACTAGGCCTGTGGTTCAGAAAAAATAATCATCTCATAAAAAAGATTAAATTTGTATGAAAATATCCGTTACAATGCGGAAATATACCGTTAAATTAGGACTGCTACTTATAGTCATGTTTGTTGATTAAATATTGATGTACGGATGATCTGAAGGCGGAGTTTCTCATGCAAACAGAAATTGTACTTCCGAATTCGCCACAATGAGGTTGCACATTTGTATGCTCATTAAACTCATTTTGGTTGCCTGGACACCAAAATAAGATCTGGAGTCGATATGAAACCCAATTTATTGATGAAATGTCGCTATTTCTTTTTTTTTATGAAATTTATTTAATGTAACTTTAAATTATTCAAATAAATTATGTATTTTCTTTCATGTAAATGAATTATTTTCATCCAAATAAAAAATATTTTTCTCATTAACATATATTACTTAATTCAGCTTTTCATAGTTATGTTTATTTCTAAAGGTTTAAATATATTTTGTATATAATGTACAAATTCTTAAGATATCTATACATTCATGCAGAATAATCTCTTCTATTTAACTTAAATAGGTGCAAAATAAATGCAATAGATTTTTTTTTAAATATTCATTCATTTCCTTAGAATCAAATTTGCCATTTTCTACATAATTTTTTTTAAATTCAATCAGATTATATTTATAAAAAATTCTCATAATATCTGACATAATAAGTTAATAATTATTTATTGGTTTGTGTACTGTACATATAATTTCATGTTATGACATAAATAATGTTGAATATATTTTATTGATAAATATGTTGTTTCTTTTCCCTACCTTAATATATGGTTATGAAAGTTACCAGTTATTGTACATACGGACTTATTAGAACCACACTCTCATGTCCGATCCTTGATAATAACGGACTGTCGAAGAATGGCCGTGAGCATTGGTTGAGAGGAAAATACCTAAACCACTAAGTCACTAATAGTTTTCCCCCAATTGTGGCACTGTATCCATTATTTTGCTTCAACACTCCAGCTTCTTCAGAACAGAACTGTCAATTTGCCGTCAAATACAGACTTGTATCTACTTCAAGCTGAAGTTGTACAGCTGAAAAAACAACTCCTTAATGATGATGAAAACACTTTAAGGAAAACTCAAGCACAAATGCAGAAGAATAAAACAACCTTATCCCAACCTCCTACCAACAAAGAAACTGCATCAGAATTACAAGAAAACTCCAATGTTGCATCAATACATCCCAACCAAAAACCAAAAATCTGTATTCTTGGAGACTCAGTGACAAAAATTATCAACAGAAAGAAATTCTCAGGAGAAATCTTGGACACCCAAATTAAATCACATCCTGCTGCAAAAGTCCAAGACATAACCAACAATCTGGATTCTGGAAATACCGAAGAACACTTATCTCAGAGTGATGTAACTATAATTCATGCTGGAATCAATAACATATCAGATGCAGAAACTACAAATCAAGTTATTGATAATTTTAAGACTTTAACACAAAAAGTGCAATCAATAAATCAAAATACAAAGATCATAATTTCTTCTATTTTACCAAAGAAATATGATAAACTCTCCACCAAACCAATCGCTGAAATAAACTGCCAGCTAGCTATCTTTTGCAAGGACAATGCCCATGTGTTCTTGGACAACACCAGTAGTTTCATGAAAAATGGTTCTGTAGATAAATCTCTGTACTACGATGAAGTACATCTCACACAAACTGGAGCAGCAATTCTTGCTAAAAACATGAAAAAGGCACTCTTTACTGAAATCAAAATCTCTGCTGACATTAAGGGACCTGAAGAAAATTTTCACAGACAGGGCCTCCCATACAACAAGAGTCATCAGAGATACCAGAGAGGACCTCCAATCAACAGACAACCCTGGAAACAATCATACTTCTACAAACAAATGGGGAGAAGTCAACCAAAACAGTGGCAACATCAGCGAGAATCTCATCAGCTACCAATGATGATGCCCTTTTGGTGGCCATAAATGAAGACTCAATCAAAAGTGTCAATAATACTAATGTCTGTGACTTGAACTCTGCAAAATTCTTTTCTAGTGATCTATTTGATAAGTCGGGTTTAAACTTTATGCATCTAAATATTTGCCATCTTAACAACAAATTTGATGAATTTAGGCATACAATTGATAATGTAAAAGAACTAGATTTTATTGGCCTATGTGAAACATTTCTTAATGAAAATTATTCTGACAGTGAATATGTTTTAGATAATTATCAGTTATTCCGTTGTGATAGAGGTTCGAATGGAGGTGGTGTTATATTATATACAAAACAGTGTTACCCTTGCTATCACAGGACAGATTTGAATAGACAAACAATAGAAGCAATATGGATTGAGGTTAAATGTGAAAATCAAAAATCTTTCCTTGTTGGATATATTTATAGACCTCCCTCATCACCTTCTAGCTGGAATACAGATATTGAAGAAATACTTGAAAAGATTTTTCTAGAAGGCAAAGAATTAATTCTATTTGGAGACTTTAACTATAATTATGTCAATTCAGCAACAATTAATAACACATGGAATCATGTTACAGATACATTCAATCTCAAACAACTTGTTAAAACACCAACCAGAGTTACTTCCACTACATCTACTATAATTGATCATATCTATTCAAATGTTCCTGAGAATATACATAAAATACATGTACCGGTCCTTACACTTAGTGATCACTACCCAGTCTGTTTTGTGCGCAAGTCTAGACATAAGCCTAAACATGGACCTGTACATTCTGTAATAACTTATAGAAATATGAAAACTTTTAATGAAAATGAATATCTCATTGAATTACAAAATCAACCTTGGTCAGTACTTGACATATTTACAGATACTGATGATGCATTAGACTATTTTATTAATACCTTAACATCAGTCCTAAACAAACATGCACCACACATAACAAGGCGAGTTAAATATGTAAATCAGCCAGACTGGTTCACTCATGAAATAGCCGAAACAATTAAAGAAAGAGATAAAGCAAAACAGGCCATAAAATATGATACTTATAAAATACTTCGTTCAAAAGTCAAGAAACTTACTGCAGAAGCTAAAAAGAAATTTTTCAACACAGTAATCAATGAAAATAAAAAAGATACAAAGAAAATGTGGCAAAATCTAAAACACCTATCAGGGAAAAATACTAATACTCAAACTCAATTCATTAACGATGAAAATGGAGAACCAATCACTGATCCTGCTGAAAGCGCAACAAAATTTAATGAATTCTTTACAAGTATTTTTAAAAGGGCACCTAATGTCAAAAACTATCCCGAATCATATAAAACTAGACTAAGAGATCATAATTCAAATTGTTTCAAAACTGACCAATTGTTTCGAATTCCTCCAATATCTGAAAAATTTGTGAGGAACGTGCTTGAAACTCTAAATGTAAAACATCAAAAAGACCTACACTCTATTCAAGAATGGTGCACTCACAGTGCTATGATACCTAATACAGACAAAACTAAAGCTATGTACATATCAGCCTCAAAAAAGACCCAACATTACATTCATGCATCAACAAGTACACCACTTCAATTATTTAACAATAATATAGAGTTCACTGAATCTGAAAAGCTTCTTGGAGTACAAGTTGACAATTGCCTAACGTGGAAACTTCAAGTAGAACAAACAATAAAGAAATGCAATAGTAATCTCTATCTTCTTTTAAGGTTAAAACAATATCTCAATTTACATGCCAGGAAACTTTTCTATAATGCCTATATTTTACCTCATATAGACTATTGCTGTTCAATTTGGGGAAATTGCTCAAAAGAACTTCTTGAGAGAATACTAAAATTTCAAAAACGAGCAGCTCGCATTATCCTAGATAAAGCTGCAGATGCACCATCTGAACCTCTTTTCAAAGAATTAAGATGGATGAAATTTAATGACAGGGTTGAGTACAAAAAGGCAATCCTGATATACAAATCATTACATGAAGAAAACTCACCATGCTACATGAAAGAAAAATTTCATTTTATCTCAACTTTACATAACAGAAATCTTAGATCAACAAACAATCTTAATCTACATGTCCCTAAACCTAATCTTGAGTTTTACCGTAAATCACTTTCTTATTCTGGAACTAAAATCTGGAATAATATACCACTCTATGTACGTCAGTCTGAAAGTACTGAAAAATTCAAAAAAGCTTACATAAAGTGGAAGTACTCTGGTTAAACCAGTACCATAGTATTATGTTTGTATAATTATGTTTACTGCAGTATGTTTAATTTGTCATTGCATTTATAACTAGTTAATACCATGTTTTATAATATTACATTGTCTTTTGTATAATTATTTGATGTAAATATGTTGTAAATATGTTGAGGTACATATGGAAGATCGTTTTGGCGAATATGTAGCCTCGTTAAATAAAGCCTTTATTATTATTATTATTATTATTATTTGATCTACCTGATTTCGTTTATATACCTTGGCTATATAAGGCCCGCTGTGTTATTTATATGAAGAAAAAAACTCCGTTGCGCAACGACATTGCGCTAGCTGTAATATATCTCCGTTGCGCCGTTGATAAGTTCATTTTCACTCGTATAATCTTTCAAAACAATATTTAATTCAAATTCTTTTTTAATTCATATAACAGACTTTTATTACACCACTTCAGTAATTCAGTAAATATCTTTAATGTTTTACTACTTCAAACTACTATTCGAGACAAAGGTTGTTTTCTTTATAAATTCCGTTGCGCAAAAAAACAAATCTCCGTTGCGCAGACAAAATGTCCATTTCGCCGGCACACAATCCTTTACAACATCAAAATTGCAGCTATTTGATATATGATTAAGGTTTTTATATCATTTTTTTATAGATTTATTCATTCAAATAACATTGGTGTTAATCAATTCCATATATTAGTACATACGCTGTGCCCATTTTCCAAAATTATCTCCGTTGCGCAATGAAATTTCCATTTCGCAAGGCATGTTTAACTCTTCACTGCAATTCAACATATAAAATTCATGAAACATCTTAAAACATACTTACTTAATAGTCTTAAACCATCATTTTTGATGCTAAAATATAGCATATTGACTTTATAAAAAATGCGTTTTGCCGGTTTTTCATAAAAACTTATCTCCGTTGCGCCATGATATTTCCATTTCGCCAGGCATTTAACCATTCAGTGCAATTAAACATGTACAATTTTTAAAAAAATATGAAAGCACACTTATTTAATAGTGGTAAAAAAAGTCTTAGACAATTAAATAAAGCATATTGACCTTAAAAAAGGAATTGTGCCGGTTTTTCATAAAAAAAAATCTCCGTTGCGCCAGGATATTTCCATTTCGCCAGGCATATAACCATTCAGTGCAATTAAACATGTACAATTTATAAAAAAATTAAATCATACTTACTTAATAGTGGTAAAAAAATCGTTATAGACAATTAAATAAAGCATATTGACCTTAAAAAAAGGAATTGTGCCGGTTTTTCATAAAAAAAATTCTCCGTTGCGCCAGGATATTTCCATTTCGCCAGGCATATAACCATTCAGTGCAATTAAACATGTACAATTTATAAAAAAAATTAAATCATACTTACTTAATAGTGGTAAAAAATCGTTTTAGACAATTAAATAAAGCATATTGACCTTAAAAAAAGGAATTGTGTCACTCACTCAGTTTTTCTAAAAAAATATCTCCGTTGCGCCCGTTCACTCAGCGTCCGTTGCGCCAAAAAATCTCCATTGCGTATTTTAGTGGTACCCATATATAAATCCACCCTCATTTTTCTAATGGGTAAAGGAAACAATGTGAAATTGGACTAGGAGCTTATGATATACCTTCTTGGGTCTCTGTTTTGCGCCAAATGTTACAGTGCGAGAAAATGTGCAGCCTGACCGGGACTTGAACCTGTGACCCTCTGAATACTGTACCGGGGCTTTACCAGCTGAGCTACCTGGCCGCTTACACACTATCTACCCTAATTAGTAAACACTTTAATTCCATGACATTTAGTTGAATTATCTAGTTGGTACAACTGCGTAACAGTATTTTGTGGTCAAGGGGGGAACAAGACACTTCACCCCCAACCCCTAAAAGACACTTCACCCCTCAAATTTTGATGACACGTTAGACGAAAGACAATTAAGGGATGACATACAAATATAAAAAAGATCAATGAACATGTAGATATATATTTCAATTGCTGACAAATTAATCTATTTGTGACTTTTAATATAAACAGTAACTTAGTAACCTGTCAATTAAAGAACAAGGGAAGTGTGAAAGGGATTAAAGTATCATCATATATTTATGAAAAAAAATCACATCCTTTAAATGAGTGAAAAAATAAGTTATTTTAACCAGTCAAACTTTCATTGCAATTATTAATTATAATAGGACACTTAGCAAAATAATAAACTTTACATAATGTAAACCTGAATTTCAGTGCATACTCATCATGCATGATAAGCAAGTTTACCTCATTTTATTGACCTGTTGATACCCTACACAAACACTAAGCATTTTATAGGCATAAAATTGCAACATTGAAAAGACTATTCACTTAAGCACATAATACAAATCAAGTTTTAGTTTCTTTAACGTTTTTATTTGATCTTTGATCTCATTATTATTCTTGTGATTCACATGTCATTTAACATGACACTTGATTGGAAATAAAAGTAAAAATATTCTATTCTATTCTGCACATATATTAAACACCCATTTTACAACTGATTATAAATATTGGAATACAAAAAAAAACCAAACAAATATACAAGATATGTTATAAACATTATCGCGCACAGCCTGACCCACACAAGAAGTTCAAATTAAGGCAATTAGAAAATGTTTTTTCTGTACCATTTAGAAAATTGAAGACAAACATAAATATAGTATAAACATGTATCTGTTTACTGACTTTGGAGAAAATGCCTATAAAGCCTCAGCTAGTCCTTAGTCAGTAGAGCTGCAGAATGTGTATTATTCTCATTTTAGGTATGGTGCCAAAATCAGATTTCCACATGCCCTGGTCATGACATTTCTGTTCAAGGAGGGCAGGTAAAAATGGTTTATATATACATGTTACTATTACTTTTGTAAATCCTATGTTTTATTCAAGATTTAAAATTAATTTCTGTCTAATTTTAAAACTATTGTATTGTAAAGACTTCAACAAAAGATGCAAGTACATGGGTGAAATTGATATTCATGCAATTAGATGTTTTAAATGGTATAGGTTATTGGTCAGTTAATCTACGTTTAATTACTCTTAAAGTGTATCTACATTTTGTTTTAATAAAACAGCTGTAAGTTTGAAATCATTTATGTTGCTAAATTTACTGCTTAGGAAATTACATGGTAATTATTAACTGATCTTATAAATTGATATAAAGATAAAGTAGCTTTTTTATGTATGATACATGTATATAGTTTATAAATTATACAATGTATGTCATGCACCAGTCAATGAACTTACCACTGGGGAATAGTGGGGACTTTGACTTTTGGATTATCAGTCAGAAACAGGGACAGTCAGTCATGTTGGGTACCATTTTGTGACAGAAAAGATGAGAGGAGCATTTGTAGTGCACTGTTTCAAGCTATAAAACTGAAAAGTCAATGTATGACAAACTGTTTTCATGTGATTTTAAACAGTCCTGACTGACAAATAAAAGATGAATATCAAAATTGTTATTCCCTATTATTCTAATCAATGGTCAGTACACTTATTACCTGTCTGTTTATCTCAGCTTATGCGAAAATTCTTCTTTTTTCAGTTTACGTGAGAAGGTTAGGGCTATACTTGAAGCAACATTTACACATTCCAAAAACCTTGCATCTTTTGTTTTCCTGTATAAAAGTTTAACAGGTTTAATGGAGCATTTTCAAGAGGAGAAATCCCAGATTCACAGCTTCATAGCTGCCTTTATAGGAGGTTATTTTGTATTTGGAAAAAATAACAAAGTTAATGAACAGGTATGATTTAATATTTGGGTTTCCATTTTTCACTCATTTAACACTCAGCCTGTTTACAGCAACCGATTCAACCTGTTACAGGGTGAGAAAAACATGCAGCCTGACTGGGACTCGAACCTGGGACCCTAGGACCACCGTTCCGCAGTTTTACCAGCTGAGCTATCAGGCATCTTACATTGTCTCACCCCCATTCTAATAAACAGTTTTGAACCATGACATACTTCCCCTACTATATTGAAATTCGTCCTCAAATTTCTCAGGGTTACAGAGCAATGTGATTTAAACTCTGAGCTGTATGCAGTCACAGCCCCACGTTGGGTGCCAGATGTCACAGGGTTTGAAAAATGTGACACCACATGAAGATATATGCATAACTGTGCAATACCATTTTTAGAGAGTGGTAAAATTGGAACTGGGAAAATGCTAAAAAACAAAATTGTATAACTGCATTAAACAAAATTCTGCATATTGAATACTTTACAGTCAAACCTGTGCTAAAGACCACCCTGAGTAAAGATAAACCTGTAAATAAAGACCACTTTTGGATAATTTTTCTTTGAAGTAACATCTGAATAAAGACCACTTGTATATAACTAAATGTATCCTCGTCACTGGCCTTTAAAAATAATTGCATGAAAAGTACCGCAATAAATATAATATCTTTAATACTGCTTTATGGGGAGGGCTGTTGTTAATATTGTTGTATCTTGTAGCCGACCCATTTGCACTATATATCCGTTTTTGTATCATTCATGTAATTTTAATGTATTTATGTAAAAATAAGTTGCAATAAAATGTTATTAAACTAAACTTGTATATAAAGGCCATACTTTGTTTCTCCCTTGGATGCCGACGTCCATTGTTCACAGGGTTGTCTGTACTTTGATTTCATTTTTAATACTTTTCAATTCAAACTTCAAAATTCTCTTTTGTTTTTCATTTCAGATAAATTTATATTTGTTATCAAGAATTATATATGGACTGGCTAAACTGGCAGTGAAAAGAGGATATATACCGAAGCCAAACGGAGAGACGTTCCCATGGTTTGCTGCCATTGTTTGGGGTATAGTCTTGTGGGAATTCGAACACGAGAAAGAAACGTTGCAATCTTCTTTACAGTCGTCCATGACATACCTGTATCATGACAGTAATAAGTGGACCAATCTGAAAAACTTTTTATGGCATAACAAATAGTGTATTGCATTTATCTAAATTTTCTATTGTTATAGATAGTTTTTCTTCTTTTATAAGTGATTTCGAGCCTAACTTGAGTCACAACTTTTCTTCTTCCATAGTATAGATGCGCTTAGAATGTTAAGTTCTGAGGCACAAGTGATTTCATTATAATGTGGCTAGAACTAGAAAAATAGTTCTAGAGGCAGGGCTCAAAAGTGATAGTATTATATATAATTTGTCAAGATCTCATGGTGTTATCGGATATTGAATTGAGTAATCTTAAATACAATGGTCGAAGAAATGCATGTCAAATGCAGAGCTCTGGTGAGCCCATAATTATTGTTTAATTATGTGCTCTCAACAAATGAAAAACAATGAACAATTCCTTTTTGCCTAAACATATTGATCTGCTTATTTGTTTTATTAACAATAAAAATGTTGTAGGGATCATTTATGACCATTTTATTAAAGAATATTTGTTTGATAAAGTTTTTATTTTACCTATTTAACCATGTGATTTAATTATTTCTATAATTATTTGTATACATGCTTTTGTATAATATTTATGATAAGAATTATATGTTTATACACTTTGCCCAATCTTAATTTTTGAATTATCTCCCTTCTTAAAAATGTTTCTAATCATGGCTCTGTATAATATCAAATAGCCATTACACCTCTATATTTGTAGAATGGACTAGTCAAGCTTTAAACATGGAATTGCCCATTTGTATTTTATAGGGTTGTAATATCCAAAAGCCCAAATTTGAGCTCCAAAAGTGTAAGAGTACTAGTTAGACTGTATTTATTTTTAAGTAGACTTCATCATGTTGCCTTATTGATGTATTAGCGTTAAAAGTGATCAAGAGAAAAAAAACAATGATTCAAAAAGTCACTTGAGCAAAGTGTTACAAAAAATTTAATGAGAAAATGATCATGAAATTAAAGCAAATCATGAAATCTTAAACTTGTAGCTATGCTTTCCGTAATGATATCTTAGACATGTGGTATATGTAACCTTGTGAGGACCTCTACACTTAGATGTAGTTTAGATTGGGTCACTGCTAATGTCAGCTGAGCTAGAAAATATGTTTTTCATCACAATACATTGTACTTTCATGATTTGATCACTTAGTTATCTCATGGAACTGTTTACTTTAGTGGGGTCAAGATGGTGTCAAGGTCACATAGGTTAGTGAAACATTTTTGTACCTTTCCTTTGTTAGACTCAACAATTATGTTGAAACATCATTAAAAAGTATAAAATTATTTTGATATAGGCACATTGTGGTTGACATCTTTTGCTGATATAGAGAATAGCGTGGTTAGAACGCAATTGAAGAGTCAAACAAGAAGACAAAAGGTTATTGGTAATAAAGATGATTATTCTACTTTCCTTCATGATTTTGCAATGATTGCCAATGCATTTAACTCTGTTTAAAGCCGCATCAGGGTGGCATCCACCAGTGCCACTGACATTCTTGTTTGTTATACGTCCTACAAGTTAATTCTGTGATAATAATGATGTAAGCATGTTTATGTTATAGTATTGTTCACTGCAAAGCTATATATGATATCACATTTATGGATTATTTTCTATAAAAATAGGTTGTTTAATGTTTATGTATGTTTTTTTAAGCCCCCGATTACGAGTTTAAGAACGGACTTCGTTCGATTTTGCAGTCGAACTGTTTACGATAACTTTTTACCGTTAATCGAGCGACTATTTATAATTGTCTTACAAAATATCTTACTCAATTGCAAGTTCTGAAATTCTATCAATTTAATCATTCTATTCCGCACGTAAATGCGGAAATAGTATTTACAACCCTCACACACGCATTATCGAGCACTATCGTGACATTATACATTGGTAACGTTGATTGTACCTTTTGATCTTTGCACCAAACGAGCGAAATAAGGAACATGCTGAAAAGCTGTGTTCGACTCAACGTTATGATCCCTGGCCATTAATTATTTGTAAATAAAAGGTAATATACCATTTAGAGTACTTGAATCATGTGTAGGTTAGTACAAAGACAGTACCCACCGTTTAGACGTTATACGTTTCGGTTCTGAGCAATCGTGTAAACGTTTACAAAAAATTGTAAACGTGGGAGCCTTAATGTTTTTAGAAGTATTTTTTTACATCACTATAAAATAAAAAAGAATTTGAAAATACTACAGTCATACTTATCTATTTTATCTATATACTCTGCGTTAAAAAATGTAAAAACATGATATAATTTATTTAGGTTTTTCTTTTTTTCAGATTTAGTTATGCTTTGAATTATCAATATTATACTGCTATTAAACTTCGCGAAACCCCAAATAATAATATGAAAATGTCCAATATAGAAAAAATGATCCTTCCGAAGCATCTAAATCAGCAAAATAACATGAAAGTTGCAGACTCTGTATACTTGAGTCCAGTCACATGAGGATATAAAAAGTGCCAAACCACTCAGCCCCGTAACACCTTGAGGGACTAGTAAAATACAAGACATTGTATCCATATAATCAAGTTTTCCTATTCTCACATAGCGCGACAAAACCGTTTTGGGGCGGATGTAGAGGAAGGAAGCAACAAATTGTGCTGTTAAGGCTTTTTATTATATTATACAATGGTTGCCTTCGCCGGCGCTTGTGCTATAGTCGGTTACATTAGTTTTCGCAGTCAAAATATGAGACTAGTGAAAAAGGTACACCGGACAAATCGTTAGAATAGATCATCCTTTATTAGAATTTCATACATTGTTTGTAGTTGCAAACTGCTTAATAGCAGCCTCGCTCTTTCAACTTTTTATGCTCCCCGAAAAATTTGGGGGCAATATATGACTACCTTGTTCCGTCAGTCTCCGCTTTTCTTCACAGACACTAACTTTGAAAGACACAAGAGGATCAAATGAAATTCTGTTACGGAAGATAGATCTTATTGAGAAGGCGTAGTGCACAAGAACCGTAACTCTGCCTTGCTTAATTTTTGAATTATTCCCTTTTGTTTATTTTTCACACTTTGAACTTTGTCCGGGACATAACTCTAAAAGTATGAGAGGTATCAACATGAAACTTTGTAGTTAGATAGATCTAATTGAGTAGGTGTGCAGTGCACAAATACAGTAACTCTGCCTTGCCTAATTTTTGAATTATAGTCCTTTGTTTATTTTACACTTTGAACTTTGTCTGGGTCATAACTCTAAAACTTTAAGAGGTATTAACATGAAACTTTGTAGGTAGATAGATCTCATTGAGTAGGTATGCAATGCACAAGAACCGTAACTCTGCTCTGCCTATGTTTTTAATTATTCCCCTTTGTTCATTTTCACACTTTGAACTTTGTCCAGGACATAATTCTAAAACTGTTCGAGGGGTTAGAGTCGATGACTTCTAATCCAGTTACCTCTCTGGCGTGGGTTCGATCCCTGGGAGATGCTTTGGTAGTTTAGCGTGGAGAAAGGTAGTCTAGTACTGGTGTAACTTTCCAGGAATGATGGTTAGGAAACTACCCGCCTATATGACTGAAATACTGTTGGAAAAAGGCATAAAATGAAACAAACAAACAAACAAAACAAAAAAACTCATGCTTAGTCACGTTTTCAATAGTTGCAATGGCCGTCACACTGGTAAGTCTTTTGCATGTTAATTTATATCTCCAAAACAACTGAAGGGAAGGGGTTGAAAATTGAGCACATGTTTATGACTACAAGAAAATGTTCTCTTGAAATGATCATTTGTGTATTTTTACCCTATAATGTCAGAGGGAACATAATAATCTAGTCCATGGTTTTTCCTTCATCCAATCTTTCAGGTGCAAATATCTACAAATTTTAAATGGGGCTTTTATTTATGAGACAAATTTTTATCTTTTTGAAATATTTGGTAGCTTATTGAAGGGATATCACTTCTTTGGTAAAATATGAGGTTAATTGGGTCAAGGTCCTTGAGCCTATAGTTAGAGTTATTGTCTTTTTCTCATAAAGCTATTTGAGTTTTGATACCTAAGATACCTGAACAGTGTAGGTATCTTGTGAGGACCTTTACATTTTGATGTATTCAGAATGGGGTCAATGCCAAGGTCACTTAAGCAAAAACTATATTTTTATATTTTCCATAATTTGACCAGGTAATGATCATGCATGGTCAGTTATATTATGGTCATAAGTTATACTTTTCTTTTTTGACCCTTCATTTTTGAAGTATTAATTAGTGTTTGCATTTTGATGATATCCTTGTTGGTCATCTTTTGTTGTGATGTGGTTTGAAAGTCATTGGTGATAAAACCTTGTTATTCTACTTTCCTTTATGATTTTGAACGCATGACAATTCTTTTAAACTCTGTTTAAAGCTGCATTAGGATTTCATCCATTGGTCCAGTGCCACTGAAATTGTTGTCAGTTACATGTCCTACAAGTTTATTCTGTGATAAAAATGAATTGCAAGAATGTTTGAATTTTGTATTGTGTTAACAGCAAAGGTTGCAAGTATGATATCACATGGTGATTTTAAGTATTGATCGTTTTACTAGAATAGGTTTATGTATGTTTTATTCAGCAGTATTTTATAGCAGTATAAAATAATAGAATTTGAACTTAACTACTAAAGGTATATTTACCTATTCTATCTATGTGTAATTATGTATAGTCTGCCATGAAAATGTAAAAATATGAAATAACTTGTTTGAATTCTTTTTTTCAGTTTGAATTATGCTTTGAAACCCCAAATCATGGTAAGAAAATGTCCAATATATTATATTAGTTTTTTTCAGCAGAATACAAATCAGTGAAAACTAAACATTTATATTTTTTTACATTTATATATGCAAAACTAAGGCCTGGCATTTGTAGCACAATAGAAGGGGATTAGCCACACGGAATGCCTTTTTATAGTTTACATTGTATTCTTAGTATCTTAGTTCTTAGTTAGTAACATTCATTCATCTTATATTCATTTCAAATTATGTAGAATAACTTGGGCCCTACGAATTAGATCTTTGCTGCGAACCATTGCCCTAATCTATCGTTACAACCCCGTTAACCGAAATAAACTTTTGTTGTAGTCAACATTTCTATACAAGTATTAAAGTACCATAAAAAGAATATTTATAAAATATATCAGTATAAAAAAGTTATTTCTAGATCTACTGTCAAGTATTTTACGGAAGAGCATTAGTGCCAGGTGTATGTTTTTTATTAACTCGAAATTTCGAGTTAGTAACTCGAAATTTCGACTTACTAACTCGAAATTTCGAGTTACTTATCTCGAAATTTCGAGTTACTAACTCGAAATTTCGAGTTACTAACTCGAAATTTCGACTTACTAACTCGAAATTTCGACTTACACTGCACGACTTTCATTGGTTGCCGGTGAAAGCAAGGATTGAATTCAAGATACTTTCTTTCGTGTGTAGCTGTTGCACATTGACAGAGCACCTCAACATTTATTTAACAGAACAATTTTATAGGGTCAAATTGTCCACACATACTGAACATATCTTGTGGGGGGGGGGGGGGGGGGTTGTAAAATCACACTTTCCACATTTCCGTGTTAACCGGGTGTTTCTTTTTCTTAAGCACACATAGAACCATCATGTGGAGAAACAACAAGTCCAAAACCCACCCTATTGTAAACTGTGCAATATCATGTGTTAAATAAGTTTTAAATGGCGTGTATACGCCAGTTAGTCTGTCACGTTTCTTTATACTAATAATGTTTTTGTAACATTATTCATTATTTACTAATACTTTGATTCATATTGTGTTAATAAAAGTTGATAAAAGTGATACTTTTGTTATATATATGTTGGGAATAATATAAAAGCATCCGATTTTACAAGAAATATAGTCAGTCCAACAATTTTGACAAAGGCCTCAGCACGACCTATTTTGGCCACGCCGCGATACTTTCCTCAGATGTCCCACACGTGAAGTATAGGATCGGGTTTTTTACAGGGATGAGAAGAATATGATTAGTGAAAAGATATGTTCGAACAGATGGGATACAATACAACGTCTGAAGAACGCCTGAACGTACAAGTTAAAGGAAGCCTTGTATTTTTTATGTCGGGTGTGTACATGCCATTACTTAGTTTATAAGTTAAATTCAATAGTGTTTGTCCAGGCACCCGTTTCTCCATCTCCATCGTTCAAAGGCACTGCCTACTATATCTTATACCATCTAACTAATAACTTTGGCCATTCTTGTAATGTTAATAAGTCGAAATTTCGAGTTACTAAGTCGAAATTTCGAGATAAGTAACTCGAAATTTCGAGTTAGTAAGTCGAAATTTCGAGTTACTAAGTCGAAATTTCGGGTTAGTAACTTGAAATTTCGAGATAAGTAACTCGAAATTTCGAGTTAGTTACTCGAAATTTCGAGTTACTAAGTCGAAATTTCGAGTTAGTAAGTCGAAATTTCGAGTAAGTAACTTGAAATTTCGAGATAACTAACTCGAAATTTCGAGTTAGTAAGTCGAAATTTCGAGTTAGTAACTCGAAATTTCGAGATAAGTAACTCGAAATTTCGAGTTAGTAAGTCGAAATTTCGAGTTAGTAACTCGAAATTTCGAGTTAATAAAAAACATACACCTAGCACTAATGCTCTTCCGTAAGTATTTTATTGAGTGTAGAAATAAATTAAATACTTTTGCAAACAATGACATACATATTTTATTACATGTTTTTCGGTGGTTTATAGAAATATATCAGTGATATAAAGCTGGTAATTTCACTGTTTGAAACAGTGAAATTACCACTTTGATAATTTCACTGTTTTGAATTTAAGCCCCTTACGTTGTTTCAGTGAAATACCAGCGTGCACAGTACTGGGTACCAACTTAATGACGTGACGTCGTAAATGACGTCACGTTGTATTATTATTTGGCGCGCTTTTCATATAGTATTAGGTTTAATGTCTTTTTAAAACGTTTCTTTGCATATAATAAAAAGAAAATTTGTTTAGTTAAATAGTGCAAGATCGAAATATATTTCACCTTGTGAACACCAAAAGTTCAAATTTCACTCGTGGCTGCGCCACTCGTGAAATATACCTTTTGGTGCTCACTCGGTGAAATATATTCCGATCTTACACTGAACTAAACAAATATCCTCTATATAGTCTTTATTATACGCAGTCTCATCTATACATACATATCTGGAAAAAAAATTATCCCTCGAAAGCATCAAAATCGGCAAAATTACATGAAAATTGCAGAAGGGTTTGATTGTGTCCGTACATGAGGGATAATAAAAACGTGCAACATCCCTCACACACCCTAGCACCGGCTAGTGGTACTCAACATAGAAAAATATACAACCAGAACCATGTGTAGCCATGTAAGACAATGTCCCAATTCTAACCTTTTCCCCGACTTTAGACAACAATCTGACGACTGTTTTTTTTATACCAACATGCTTTTATGTGCGTTAAAGTATGCATTTAACTACGTAGTGAAATAACTTAAATATTTCGAATCAAAATTGAAAGAGTATAGTTGAGAGAGAAAAAAGAAACTGTTAAAAACAATGATTATTATTATTATACATGTACGCATTTAAAATTTTTTAAGGGACGTAAATGATCGTGCGATACTATATCTTAGGTGTAAATACTATAACCAAATATTATAACCTATTGTTACACTAAAACATTTAAGCTGTTGTGTTTGTATTATCGTCATACATATGAATTTAAAGCTGTATCTTCCTTGATTAAATCTCATGTTAAGAAAAGAAAAATTACATAGAAAAAAATCTTTTAAAAAAGATAATGCTTATCTTAGTTACAAAAGAGACACCTGGCTATGATTTGTTTTCCTTATAGTAAATAACTTTTGAATAATTTAAAACAGTGTACACGTAAGACTTCACTGCACAGCTACTCATTGAGATCTAACTACCTACAAATATTCATGTTGATATCTCTTATAGTTTTTAGAGTTATGCCCCCTAAAAGGGAAGATAATTCAAAAACGGTGCAAAATAGAGTTATGAATCTTTGACACTGCACTCCACCTCAATACCCTCTACCACCGTGTGAAGTTTAAACAAATTATCTCCAAGGGTTTTTTAAAGTTATGCTCCGGACAAGACAACGGACGGACAGAAGGACAGACGGACGGACAGAAGGACAAGGTGGCGACTTTATGCTCCCCCTTCGGGGAGCATAATAAAATTCATTCTATTCTTGGTAAAGTTTTAAATGTTCCAGGCTCGGTATGAGTGAGCCTGTTCACGAACCGCGGTAACAAAAATGGAATTTTGAGAGGAGATCAAAAGTTAATAAAGTTTGCAACATAGCTGTTAAACGATAAATTAAGACAAACAAAAACAGATAACATATCCCACGAGTGATTCATCTTTTAATGTTTTAGAACATTAACTCTATTGTTATGCTATTCTGTATTTTGTGACTTTTGCCAAGTAGTTTAGACACGGAGATAATTAGAAATCAACATGAAAATGAATATGAAAAAATCAATGTCCGGAAAACGCATGGCCCACACCACACTCATGTCCCATCCCAAAAGAATGTGTACCAAATCGTCGATACTCAAACACAGTTCTAATTCTTGGCAAGGAAAACAAAGAAATGATGTACATTCACACGATGTGCATCAGTACAATTATTTTTAATTATTTTTTCAGAGTATTAAAAAATATGCGATCCAAATCGCCGACAATGTTTTCCGCCTGAAAACCATTTCCTTTAAAATAAAAAGGCTCCGCTGAAAACTGTCCCGTAAAAGTTATCACTGCCATATAATTCGCCTCCGTTTGTTTGAATCCAAACAGATTGCCCTCTTTGTAACGTAATTATGGCATTTCCTGCACTCTGTGTACTTTTTCCATTAGGATTTATAACAGCACTACATTGGCGCACATTTTCAAACATAAGATGGACTACTATATGATTTGTATAGTGTTCGATTTGGAAGGCAAACATGTACGTTCCTGATACCGGTGCTGTAAACCTCCCACTGTTTCGATCATACCCATTTCCCGCGTTGTTCATAACTAAGTTGAAGTTGACAATGTCCCCTTTACTGAACTTTTTAGTGCGATCTAGAACAGCTGTGAAGGCAACCATTTTGCTGTTACTTTTATCTGAAATGTAACAATATTTTTTTTTTTAAATAACGAAACGAACTGGATCGCCAAGGAAGAGAGAGGCTGGTATAACTACTATATATGTTAAGACTCGGGGTCAAGTATATTGAAGAGTTATACACATTTCAAAGGGACAGTTTAATTCAAATTGTTTATATTAAGCAAATTGTGAGCTATGCTTCAGTCCCTAGGGAATAGCGTTGATCGTTAATCTTGAACTTTCGAAAACCTTGGTACATGCCCCACTCTACGGGTCAGAAATTCAATTCACATCAAAATACCCATGCTCTGCTCAATCAGTTAAGCAAGAACACCTTATAAACACGAAATATGTCGGGGAGTGACGGAGGTTAAAAGTTCAATTCGAATCATATTCTCGCTATCCATTGCACTGGGTTTAGGCGGTTTAAACTTTCATTTAGTGGTTTTTATTGCAATACACTTTTAATGTTCAAGTGGGTCAGTTTCGTTCGTTTTCTAACTTAAATCGGTCTCGACAAAAAACATTGTAACCTTTTTCACGATGCACATGAGACAATTTCCTTTATTTAGATAGCAAATATTTATGTGCATTTTGTGAATTTTATAAATGTTATTAAGATTTATCATTCAGTCAAAGATTACATTTTCCTAAATAAGAATAATAATTTGCCTTTACCACGGAAGCTAAGTCGAAATGCCTAGTAAATAGGCTTCAGTATATAAATGTTAAAACATTTAATTGAAATAAACGACATAATCTGGAAAGTTTCGTTTAACTCCTATTATGTTTAATGACGCCCCATGATGCGCTCCGCTTTGGAGCCTACACATTCACCTATCACAAAAGATAGGGCTTAAAACTTAAAATTACCTGTACTTTCCAATGTGTTAATCCGTTCTTCAAGGTTGTTAATTTTATTTCCCAATGTCGTAACTGCATGTTCGACACGAACAAGACTTTCAAGAAGTTTGTGCTCAAACGCAAACCTTGGGCATCCCCCTCCGTCTGGCTCCATCGACCCTGTACTTGACAGAAATAAGGTGCATAAAATTGCCGCGAGACAATTTATAAATTCCATTTTTATTGAATGAACATAAAATAAAGAACTGAGTACAATGTATATCACTGGAGGCTAGTTATGTTTGTAAGTTTACTGTTAACTTACACGGAAGGTATATGTTACTGACAGGAAATTAAAATAGATGTACTTTGGTCTGTGTGTATGTAGTTTTTTTAATGCAAGAAAAGTAATATCTATGTCCATTCAAACATGCTAATAAAAAAGAGGACTGATAAAAATATGCTAAACTTCATTGAGGGAAGGAATAATTTTCCTGACCTCATTTGTTTTTTGGCGCCATAGTTGACAGTGTGTATGTATAGAGAGGATAGTGTAGGTTCAATACTGAATTTATTGAACGAGTTGAATAATATTATTTTATAAAACGAGTCCAATAAATTCAGTATTGAACCTATACGAATATAATAATCCATTTATCACATACCCAAAATAAAGACTGTCAAAGTGAAAGAAAATCAAATTTAACTGATGCGCCTAAAGTGTTACGGTAACATTAAGCGCGTTTTACGCTATAACGTTAATAAACGTGCAATACCATTCTTACGAAGTTGGCATGCATATGTGATGAAATAAGATATTAAATGATTGTAGGTTCAATACTGAATTTATTGAACAAGTTGAATAAGATTACATCATGCGAGTCTCTGGCGTCTTTACACTATGTTTGTATAACGTAAATGACGTCAAGTCAAAATATATACACGGCCGTGCAATACCATTTTACGGAGTCGCAAAATCGGCGCGGGTTTGTGATAAACTGTAAACATATTTCATTTGAGATATATGATAAATAGAATATGATATTGGTGTAGCTGCATTACTAAATTTATTGAACTGGAAAAAATATTATGCTTACCAGAGGTTCGCATAAATGGAATGTAGTATAATTTTATTTAACTCGTCCAATAAAATCAGCTAAACTCATTCAATGTCCTCTATTTATTCATCCGATAAATTCGATCTCTACATATGTAGAATCAATCATGAATAAATTTTGAGATAAAGCGAAAATTCAGAAATATTTTACCATTTGTTCTTTTGTCACAATTAGTTTTCTCAGAAACATAACTCGATTAACGATGGCGGTTTTTTTACAAACAAAATAATTAATCAGTCACCTACAAGTCATTTCTATCTGACGATCTTTGTCAAAGTACTTTTTCATTGATTTTTCTATGTAAGTAATTCACTTTCATGTTTAATTACTAATTTGTAAAGTTAGAACAATGTGTAAATATAGTCACTATGCCCCTACTTCAGTACATTAGGTGGCACACCAGGTTAAATGAAAATAAACAAATTCGACACATGCCACAACGAAAAATTCCTAATTTGCGTTATCATATGTCGCGTCGTTCTGGTGTGTGCGTAGTGTGTGCGTGTGTGGTGTGCATGCGTGCGTGCGTGCACGTTTGTATCTATTTATGTATGTACATATCCTAATAATGTATCTATATTTCATATTGGTCTGTTATAAAGGACAGTGACTTTGTAAATAATCATGTATAACTATCTGTTTCAATTTTAGAAATTCCTAAAAAAAATGTATCTTACTAGATCTAGTATTGGAGAAATCACATCATCTTCCAATTGTACGGTATGTTTATAGAAACAACTACGACATGAACATAACAGCTAAGACATAGGTTCATAAATCGATGATTATAATAATAATAATAATAATAATAATAATAATATCTTTATTTAAAGAAGGTTAACACATTAAGAACATACAATAACAATCATATATATCTTATTTCCAATGTGGCCTTCTGAAATAGAACACAACAACAACAACAACAACAACAGGATATGCATAGGTAGAAAAATGAATGTATAATATGTAATTTTTAGAATATTACAACTCATATTTTTTCGACAGACACTCAACAATTTGTTTAAACATATACGAATATTGCATCATTCGTTCGTTCGTTCATATATTTATTCATTCATTCACTCATTCATTCACTCATATGAACATCAAGATATGCTTTGTATTTTTCTTTAAAACATTTAAGGTTATTAGCATTACGAATATTTAAAGGTATATTGTTCCAAATGTTCATGCCATAATAAGAAAATGTGTCTTTAATATAATTTGTTTTAGGTCTTGTCCATAATACAATATCTTTTCGTGACCTAGATCTTAAGTTATATATTTTGTTGTCGGATAAAGTCATCAGTTCTGTCATATAAGTCGGTGCCATGTTATTTAAAGTTTTAAAAACAAGCACCGCCGTGTGGTATTTACATCTGTCAAGGAACGGTAACCAATTAAGATTTCGAATAGATTTATTGACGGAGATCTTTGAGGTTCCTGTAAAATGATTTTAGCAATTCGTTTTTGTAACTTACAAACATTATTTATGTAGTTTGTGTTTCCTTTACCCCATATAATACAACAATAGTCCATAATGGGCAATATATATGCATTGTAAAACAATAATTTCATATCAAAGTGCAAAAAATACGATATTTTTTTCAAATAAGGCAATTTTTCCGTTAAGTTTTCTACAAACATTGTCAATTTGCAAGTGCCATTTTAAGTTGTTATCTATGCAATACCCAATACTTTTTGATCAGTTACATTTTCAAGAGCTATTTCATTTATCTTAAGAATTAATTTTCTCATAATATTTACTTTTTGTCTTGTTCCTATTACCATACATTTTGATTTATCTGGATTTAAGGCCATATTATTTATTTTGCACCATTTGTCAATGTTATTTAAATGATCTTGAAGTTTTATTTCTACTTTTGATATATTTTTTCCGGACTCATAAAGAGTAGAATCATCTGCGTATAAATCAATTTTTATATCATTACCTATGAAAGCTATGTCATTTATGTATATTAGAAATAATAAAGGTCCTAATATTGAGCCTTGTGGAACACCGGAAATTATTTTCATTGGCTGAGATTGAAGATTACCTATTTTAACCAGTTGTATTCTGTTAGAAAGATATGACTTAAAAAACTTAACGGCATTTTCAGAAAAATGGTAAAGTTTAAGTTTATGCAAAAGTATTTCATGGTCAACCAAATAAAAGGCTTTCTTTAAGTCTAAGAATACAGTCCCGATAATTTTTCCACTGTCAACATCTTTTAACCAAGTATCTATTAAACTAATGAGTGCAGTATTACATGAATGATTTTTACGAAATCCTGATTGTTTATTATGAATTATGTTCGTTTTTTCAAAGAATGAGTGTATTTGTTTGGCAATATGGCGCTCAAATATTTTGGATATAGTTGACAAAATTGATATCGGTCGATAATTATTTGCTTCATTCTTATCCCCCGATTTAAAAAGGTATAACTCGAGCTCTTTTTAAATCATCTGGGAAAATATTAGATTTATACTATTTGATAATTGATGCAATTATTGGTGTAATATAATCTCCACAATATTTGATGATGTTTGGTCCAATTCCATCTAATCCTGTAGATTTTTTAATATTCAGTTTTTCAATAATAAGTTTTACTTCAAACGGTGTAATTAATTCAATATTAAATCATGATATATTAGCTTTTGGTCTAAAGTTTCTTTTTAATTTTGAAAAATTTGTATTTGAAAACTTTGTTTTATGTATGACATTCGAGATATTGACAAAATACTTGTTTAATTCATTTATAATATTTACAGTTTCGTAAATTTCTTTATTACCTGTCACTAGTCTGTCTGGCATTGTAATACAACCTTTTTTATTAGATTTGAAACGTCCTTTAAATTTTTCCATAAAAATGCCGGTCTTTGTTATTTTTAATAGCATTGTTAAAGAAATCTCTTTTACTTTTTTTAATCATTGATGTTATTTTATTTCTGAGCAATTTGTATTGTTCATGTTTCCCTACTTTATGATAGTAATCGCGTTCATGTATAAGATATTTTATCTCATCAGTAAACCATTCCGGGCGGTGTTCACGTTTGATACGTTTTTCTTTTTATTGGTGCATGCTTTTTCAAGATAGTATTAAAAATGGAGTAAAATAAGCTAAGGGATTCATTCGGATTAATTATGTGCTCGACTAATTCAAGATCGGATAACGCAAGGTCTATCTGAAAATCAATTTCATTGAAGTTTTTTTAAAACATCTATATTTAATTGAATTATGTTCATTCATCAATTGGATACATGCTTTTGTTGATCTTGAAATACATATCGGATAATGATCACTTAATGAGGTATCAGAAACAAACGATTCAATAATATATCTGCTGCTGTTTGTATAAACATGATCTATAATTTTTTGGGTACGTTTTGTTATCCTAGTAGGATCTGTAATAAGTTGTTTCAAACCATATTTCGTTATCAAATCACCCCATTTTGTATTGTCATATTTTTTCTTTTTATTCATTGGATAAAAGTTTATATTGACATCTCCTAGAATATGATATTCTATATTTGATATATCTATTATACTTAGTTGTTTTTCATAATCGTCAATCCAAGATTGGTGTACATTTGGTGGGCGATATATAAAATTTAAAAGAAAAGGTTTGCAATTTGGGTAAATAATTTCCAACCAAACAGATTCTAATTCGTCCGTTTCTATATCGTAACGGCGCCGATATGGCACCTTGTCAGCAATATATATTACAACTCCCCCGCCTTTGTGACAACTATTACGGTCCTTTCTTTCGTATGTGAAATTGTTAATATTTAATTCATCGTCTGTTGTATCATCACCAAGAAATGTTTCAGTAAACCCGAAAATATCTGGCGAATTTAATTTGTTTAATAGATTGTATTTTATTTCGTCTATTTTAGGCATTAAGTGATTAAACTTAAGGTGTGCAATATGTAAACCTCGTTTTTCAAACTTAGAATTGAACAATTTATTATCAGGAAAATTTGATTTATGGAGCGTAACATTATTTAGTACTTTGCAATTATATTCATCATTTCCGTATTTATTGTATGGCACTGATTGTTCAAAAGTAACAATTTGATTACCAGATGCAATAGTGTCTATAAATTTTCGTTCTTTTACTATCAAATCGATAATTTTTCGCGTATTTAAAC